CATAATTATCGACCGATTCACGAAATACACTCTTTATATTCTATATATTAAAAACACTATAGTAGAAGAACTAGTAAGTATCTTTATCGACCGCCTAATCAGGGATCACGGCGCACCGAACGAAATCATCACGGACAGAGATAAGCTCTTTACTAGTAACTTCTGGAAAGCAGTTATAAGCTAGCTAGGAACGAAATATAAGTATTCGATAGCGTTTTACCCTATAACGGACGGATAAACCGAAATCATAAACCAAGTCCTAGAATAGTACCTACGATACTATATAAGGTACGAATAAGATAATTAGGTGTAATACCTGCCACTTATATAGTTTGCATATAATAGCTCGTTAAACGAGTTAACAAAGAAAACACCGTTCGAAGTAAATTACGGATACACACCGATAGCATTTAGAAAACCTTTAGAAGGACTAGACGCACTAAGAGTAATAAAAACAGTTAAAAGTATAAAAAAACTACACGAAGAACTACGAACCGACCTAGAGATAGTCAGAACACGAATAAGCAGGTACGCGAATTAATCAAGGATTAAGGGACTAACCCTTTTAAAGGGGGACCACGTCTACCTTATTCGTAAAAACATTAAGATATAACGACTAAGCGATAAATTAGATTTTAAAGAATTAGGACTATTTAAAATCCTAGAGAAAAAGTTAGATATAAACTATATTCTATTACTACCTCCGATAATAAGGATATATAATAATTTCTATATTTCACTACTTAAACTAGCACTAAAAAACGTAAAAATAATATAAGACACGATTATAGTTAATACTAGCGACGTGTATAAAGCAGAATAAATCCTCGATTACTAAGAGACGCTAGACGGCACCGAATATTTTATAAAATAGAAAAACTACGACTACGGCGATAATATATAGAAACCTAAAGAAAACCTGATTAATTATAAGTAACTCCTAAAATAGTACCGATAGGGCGCTATTAGGACCCAGAACTAAACACTCCTATACCTTACACCACGCTAAACTCCGTAAGCACCGAAGGAGATAGAACTATATCCGGGTATATAGTATCCTAATTATCTATAAAACCGTTAGGAAGGTGCTTAGAGGACGAAGAAGAAGGATAACCGCTAGAGGACCGCTCGCGCTCCCGATCGGCCTTTTCCTTCTCCACACGCTCTAGTTCCTCCACACTATCGATACCTCGGGAAACCGCCCGTATTATCTTCTTAAACCATAACTTTTTCTGTTTTCTTAAACGTTAAACCTTCGCCATCAACTATATAAGCTCATCCTCGGCGGCTTTGAGTTCCGCCTCCACTTTCGAATAATTATCCCCGATTTTACGAAGTTATTAAGGGGTTAGCCCCTTAGCGTCGTAACGGGGCTGATTGCTTTTAACGCAGCCGAGGTAGCGGGAGGAGTCGGACGAAGTCGCGCACGATAATTTCTTTTTAGAGCAGAAAGAATAAGGACGATCTATAGCGGAAGGGTTCTGGAGGAGAAGTTATAAAAGAACGTTACGCCTTTCGGTCTTTAGGTAACGCGAGGAAGATTTATTAACGCGACCTGATATAGTGGAAGGACGGTTAGTAAAGAAGAAAAACGAGGAACGGGCGAAAGAGCGGGGAACACGTACTTATAGATACTAGGATAGTAACCTAGAAGGAGGGAGGTAATATCACGGCTAGTAAGATAAGGCCCGGCCCGGGCCTACTACGGGACCCTGGGTCTTAAGTATGAATATCATTATGGCACGGAGGGTAAGCTGAATTAGGAGGAACGCGGGTCACGTGCGCAGACACGTGACCACCAGATCAAGGGACTCGACAGATAATCCCTATAATCCGAAGGGATTATCCAGGATAGCCTATAATCCCGAAAGAATCATAGTGGAAAAGCATCGATCCAGACACCGGAAATATATATATATACCAGAGTATCCTAGGTCTTACTTCTACTAGAGAATAAGACATCGATTAATCTAAGTCTTTACCTAGACTATTAGTCTACGCTCGACTCTAGCTTATGAAGAAGACGTCTAGTCTTTACGACGTAACTACGACCAGACACTACGAACGATAGTTACTACTCTTTAGTTAATATCCTCTTCTTATTTTAAACTAAAACCCCGATGCTAGTCCCCTATCGTCCGCTATACTATAAAGGACCGGAAGCCGTCGTAACACCGTGGGTGCTCCGTAATAGGCGTTATTTAAGCTAAGTTTAGTAAAACGGACTTAATAGGTTTATCTAAGGGGTTCTTCCGCGAGCTAGTCGAGTATCTATAGCTAAATAGTTTCCTCCTCGATTAGGTCGGCTACTTCTATAGGTTAATACTAGAAGTTCGTGTTATTATCCGGGATCCTATCAGACCCCGTTTCCTAATCTTACTCTTCGAGCTTAGCGATTTCCTCCTATACGTAACATATATAATCCTCTTTCTTAAGCTAGTATTTCTCTTCGGGAGTGAGTCCTACTTCCTGGAGGGCGCTAAAGCCTTTACTGCTAGTATTCGTATAGACTTCCTATTTCTTCTAGATCTCTAAGATCTGCTTCTATCTTTTAGCTTCTTCCTTTATCTATCCGCGTTCCTAAAGAATTTCCACGGTAATTTATAAAGCTAGTCTATCGTTATCCTAGTCAGGGACTTTAAGGCTATAGTCGTTATCGTACTCGTTACTAAATACCATAACGAGTATCTTCTAGGGTCTTTTAGGGTAATATCTAGCTCTATCCTTCTCTAATTAGTATACTAGATAATAGTTATCGTAGCAGGTTATTTAATAGAGGTTAGCGTGTAGTATTTCGTCCCTATAAATTTCTAGATGTCTAACAGCGTTAATTTCCTTCTAGGGTTTCTTTCTTCTAATCGTATTAGCCTATTATTATAATTATTCTCTCTTAGACTATTAGTAATTACGCGCGAAGTAGCCTATTTTATCGTAATTATAGTATTTAACTTTACTTATATCTTTCCTGCCCTGCTAATTATTTTATCGGTTAATATTATCGAGCTTTATAGGACTATTATAGTATCTATACGAGGTGCTCCTAAATTAGCGTGGGTATAGCTACTTCCTGCTAGTATTAGCTTAGTTCCTCCTATAGTAAGTAATATATATCGTGGTATTTAAGTTCTAGCGTTTCTTTATTCGTCGTTTAAATTATCGGTTATCGATCCGAATAGCTATAGCTATAAACGTGCTAAAATCTTCCGGGCGGTTAAGTTTATATAGCTTATCCTTAACTTTATCTTTAAGCCTATAATAGTATTAGTCTATAAGGGGTTTATTATTATAGTTAAGCTTTAAGGCGATCTATTAGAACTTAGCGGTATAGTCGGCTACCGACTTAGTCTATTAAAGCTTTTTAAGTTATTAGGCAGCGACCCTCTTCTTATTGGGTTACCTAAAGATACCGCCGAGTCGCTAAGCGAAAACCTCGAAATCGCTAAAAATAGCCGTAGTATTATCCTCCCTCTTAGTAGGATCGTTAAGGTACTCTAGATAGTCCCTGTGGATAGGCTTAAACCACCTATAGGCGTCTCCCGTGAGGAGTGCTATAGCGTAGAGAACTTTCGCCTCCTCCGTGTTAAGGGTGTCCTTATAGAATAAGAAATACCCCCGGAGATAGGTTAGGAAGCCTTATAGCTATCCCCGAGTCCTATCGTACTTAGGTGGCTCTAGGTATATATACCTTAGGTTACTAGGACGTGGTGCCTTAATCTAAGCTCGGAGTTACTGGTTCTCTTAGTGGAGTTACGTAATTTAATTACGTATAGCTTATATTAGGTCGGCGGCCGTGGTGGCTATTATTCTAGTGTTACTAGTAGTATTACCCGTGGTATTAGCGTTATTCGATATATTACCTTTTATTAAGAGAGTACTACTTATTAGGTGTTAAGGTCTACTTACCGAATAGGATCGATTAAAATATTATAACGGCTTCCGGTCCTTTATAGTATAGCGGACGATAAGGGACTAGCGTTAAGGTTTTAGTTTAAAATAAGAAGAGGATATTAACTAAAGAGTAGTAACTATTGTTCCTAGTAATCTAGTCGTAGTTACGTCGTAAAGACTAGGCGTCTTCTTTATAAGGTAGGTTTAAGCGTAGAATAATAGTCTAGGTAAAGACTTAGATTAATCGATGCCTTATTCTCTAATAGAAGTAAGGCCTAGAATACTCTAGTATATATATCCACGAGATCACGAACGCCCTGGTGATCCCTTGGCCTGGGATCACACTAGATCACTTCCTTAGCTAAGTGATCGTTAGTGATCCTAGTGATCCGTCTATACTAGTGTGTTCCTTATACTAGCGCCGGGCGTGCTAGTCTATCTTCCTTGGTTATCCATCACGTGACTTAACACGTGATATTATCCTGAGTCATCCTCTGGTTGCGTCCTGGTACGTTGCATACCAGTGCATCCCTCGTGCTAGTGCATATTAGGCCTGTTAGCCGTAACACTATCCTCGTTTAGAAGGTGGTAGATATATTTAGGACACGTATACCCGCCCCCTTTTTCTTTCTCTTTTATGGATAATACAATCATACATTTCCTGAATCAACGCTCCCTGTAAGCACGCTCCTGTCAATTTAATAAGTTGCTCCCCTCTTCCTGCTTGAAGCGTGAAATAAGAGGAGCCACCCAGTTAAAGGCTGATAGGCCGTACCAGAGCACCGTCAATCCATTGGCGTCATGGGCAGCCGCGAAATAAAACGTCAGACCTAAGACGAGTGGTAAGCCGGGGAACCATACGGCATCCGCATGAGAAACGCGATTCCCAAGACTTCATAGAAAAAGAAGCCTGTCTCCCGTCTCGTCTCGTCGCGTCGTTCAGGAAGATACAAGCCACAGATACGTTGTATACCGTGGCACCGAAGCAGAGACCCAATTCGTAAAAGTACCGCGATCCAATTGGTCATTGTCTCCGTCAACTCCACAGGCCAGTGGAAGAATACCCCACTTCGCACATCGTAGAACAAGTGAATCCCTCCAACGAGAAACCCCACGTTCAACACAGGCTCAAGCGAATTTTGAGTAAATATTTTTCTTTGGAAAATGGCATCATCGTTCTCATTTTCCTTTGGAGGCGACGACATAGAAGAAGATCAAGGGTCGAATGAAGAAGTCACCAGCTTGGCCTCGAAAGTTGAGAAGCACACCTTGTCAGAGCCTGCAAGCGCCCAAGCCCAGCAGCAGCAGCAGCAGCAGCAGCAGCAGCAGCAACAACCGGCCACAGCCAGTGCATTCCCCGTCGCCGGAAAGCCCCAGTTAACCCCCGCGCGACATGCCTTGCGGGACCTCTTTCAGCAGCTGCCGTCCAAAATCGCGTATAGCCTCCTGGACGTAACTTTGGACGATGGGCGCACCATTGACCTACCACGGAGAGAGTTGTGGGATGTCAGAATTCAGCTGATGGCCGAGGTCGAAACCGAGGATGGCGAGGGGAGTGAGGGTCCCGAAGGACTCGGTGCCCACGACATCAAGACGGGTGTTTACGAAGGGGGCTTCAAGAGTTGGGAGAGCAGCGTGGATCTTGTCAAGGTACTGGGCGCCGATAGGCACATGAACGAGGCGCGGCGACGGCCGCTTCGTGTGATCGAGGTACGACCTCCCTCCTTGGACCTTTTCTCTCCAGTGCCATTGGAACGCCAAAAACAAGAAACCCCTTTTGCGGCCCTTGTGATTTGAGGTTGAACGAAGAAGAGACAAGAAAAAAAAAACCATAAAGAGAAGGTTGATCAACTGACAAGCAGCCCCGGGAGGTCGACCGGTTGAACAGCTTGGATGCGGTACGGCGCTGCCTTCGCTAGCCATTTTTCGATGGGCTATGGAAGCCCAATTCGAGTCGGACGCGACTGGTCCCCAACCCCCGTTGTCCCTAGTCCTCGCCGACTACAACCCGACGGTGTTGCAGTTGGTGACCTTGCCAAACTTCGTTCTCGCCTGGGCTCTCGCTCATCAGTCACGCGGCTGCACAGCGCTCCAGGGAGCATTCGACCTCGAGGGGGAACTCGAGCTGACGCCTGAGGTGCTCGCAGCCTTCCGGGACTTCCTGGTCGCGTCCAACATCTCGTTGGACTTCGTCTCGGGGGGCTGGTCGGCCGAGTTGGTGAATCTCATCTACGGACTGAGCCTCAGCACCAGCCCACATGACAGCGACCGAGACAGGGAAGGTGCGAGTCAGGACAGTGTGAAAGAGCGCGAAAATGACAATGAGGGCGAGGCCAGGAATGGGAATGGGAATGGGAATGGGAATGTGAACGCCAATTCGGATCCGACTCGGAATGAGCGCCACGACACCTTGGTACTGGGCGCCGAGACGATTTACTCGCCATTCGCCCTTGAAGCATTCACTGAAACGGTCTTTGCCATTCTTTCCAGGGAACGGTCGTCGCCACAAGAGGGATGCCAGGTCGAGTGCCAGGCCTTGGTTGGGGCCAAAAGAATGTACTTCGGTGTCGGCGGGTCACTCGACGACTTTATTGACAAAGCGAGGGACAAAGGGGCGACAGTGACCCAATTAAGAGAAGAGGCGGAGGGCGTTCGACGAGGCGTTGTGCGTTGTGTCTTGTGATTGGATTGCTGTTGTCCTTTGCTCTCTTTTTCCCTTCCCTTTTTTTTCTTTTTTTTTCTTATCCCGTCCCCCAACTTTTCACTCGTCACGAACCTGACGAAATTGACGAAGGTGGTTTTCTTCCGTGGCTTTCATCATTCAATGGAATGGGCCAGACTCCAGGGTACCTGTGATACCCAGTACCCACTGTTACCCACGATTCAGCACCCACCTTACACGCCACGAAAAAAATATGGTTAGTCAGGTACCTCCTCTAGAGGTTGGGATGCTTCCTGAACACGGTGGATGTGGACGGTTGGGTCAGGGGAAAGTGGCACTGCTGAACAATGTAACGAACCACGTTCGCGTATCATGAATCGGATTTCAAACACCTACCACAAACTCTTCTACGGATTGAATACCGCATGTACAACGTACAACGTACCTCTGCTGTTGCGAACAGGTATTATTCGTACATGTATGTACTTGCTGATTTGTCCGGGGTTCATTGGCTGGTGTGGCTGGTGAAGGATGGGGGATCGGGGACGTGGAGATCATGCCTGCAAGTTTGACCAGGGGCAGTCACGGTGGTGGCCTTATGGTGGACGATGCTCATTTCCCGTCGAGTGCAGTTCCTTCCACCTCGTTCATTTACGATTTAATGCCTGGGGGGAGCGGGGAGGCTTAAATTACGAGGTAATTACTTCCTAACTGGTTCTAGCCAAGGCTGGCTCTCCAGGGCCCATGGATGAACAGGCAGCGCCTATCTCACCTCCCTTTTCTTAAGGTCCCGTCTTTCCACATCGGGTCCGCTCTCGCTTGCCCTCTCTTGATCTTCCTTCCTCACCAGCAGTTGTGACAGTCGTCAGCTCAGTCAAGCCTTCCCCTCGTTGTCCACCCAGCTCGTCGTCAAACTCATCGTCTCTCGCTTTAAATACTTTCGTTCTTCTGCGCACCGTGCATCTTGTTGTTCAAGTCGTCTTTGATTTCTCACAACAACATCAACAAGCCAAAACTACGCGTACCCCTAATACTTCCGGATTACAGTATCCATCCCCATATCGATCGTCCGCCGCGTTCCACCAGCCAACATCTGATGTAAGTCTGCATGCCAAACAATGCTCTAACCCCCCCTCCCTCCGTCGCGCCGCTCCTGGCGCCGCTCAGAATTATTACATTAAAGTCTGCCTCGCTTTCTTGTTCTTCATCTCATCCACCACATGCATACGCGTGTTGTATTTGTTTTCGGTGGTCTTTCTTCCCAGGGCATTTCTTTTCTTCCCACGATCTTTCTCCCACTCTTTGCTGCTCCGACCTCCCCTCCTTTTGTTTCAACAACCTAGTTCAGGGCGTGTCCATTCACTTGCTAATCTCACAGAGTTAAGCGTCCCTAGTTCTCGTCTGTCCTCATAATCCCCCATTTCGATAATCGACTTCCAGTCCCGAACACAAACGACACCATGAGAATCGTCAGTATTGCAACTCTCGCTGGCCTCGTTGCCTTCGTCCAGGCCCAGAATGGAGACTTTATCATCACCAACTCAGAATTTGACCTCGTCCCTGGCGAGGAGTTCACCCTAGAGTGGGCTGGCAACGATGGTCCTGTCACCATCCGCCTTCAGACCGGCCCTTCGGACAACCTTCAGACCGTCGAGGTCCTTGCTGGTATGCTTAGCCGATGTCAATGCCGAGGTTTCCCTCCACTTGCCATGCTAACCAAGTCGCTACAGAGGGCGCGACTGGCGATTCCTTCACCTGGCTTGTCCCTGAGGACATTGCGGACAACACGTACAACTTCCAGATCGAGGATGAGGCAACGGGTGAAGTCAACTACAGTGTTCAGTTCCCCCTTGATGGCGATGATTCCGCCGTCACCGCGACCCCGTCTGCCGAACCTACGTCCGCCGAACCTACGGTTACTCCCTCCGACCTGACCACGGCTGCTCCGTCCACCACCTCCGAGGCCGAGTCTTCGGCTGCTAGCTCTGAGGCCTCTGAGATTTCCAGCGCTGTCTCTTCTGCCATTAGCTCGGCAGTCTCCTCTGCTTCTGAGTCGGCCAGCTCGTCAGCGTCGGAATTGGCCAGTATGTTCTATCCCCTCCCATCCTTGTTTGCTGACTACGTGTTATTGATACTGATACCGTCACAGGCGCCACCGAGTCCGATGATGCTGCGCCTACTGAGTCCGACGACGTTGAGGTCCCCGGCAGCAAGGCCGGTCGCCTGGGCAGCCCTCTTGCCCTCCTTGGCCTCACCGTTGCCGCCCTGCTCTACTTCCAGTAATTTCTGCCACTTTAACGTTGTGCCGGAGGTGGGTCATGGTCTTACCACTTGGTTCATGGACATGTTAAACACGGGAGGCACGTGGTACGGAACGAGATTGGGGGTCGTTTTGCCGTACGACCTCGAACATGATGAGGTATTATGGGGAATGCTTGTTTTTACCCATTGTATCAGGGCACTTGCGGTTCATGCACGTGCTTAGCATAATTAGTTCTCATGCGACCGGAATATTTTTGTTGATTGGGATCGCTCTCTGCTCACTTGCTCACGGGAAAAATCGTAAGAAAATCGTAAGGGGCCGCTTGCCCGTTCGTTCTGCAACACGTACGAGGCAAGCGCAGTGGTTCCGCGGGTGTCTGCATGTCTCGGGTATGGGGAGACCCGATGCCACGGAGCATTTCCACATGGGGGGATACAAAGGGGCGGGCATTGTGTAGTTTCCGATCCGTGAGAAGCATCGAACTGTCGTCAGCCGTTGGAGTCATCCATGCTCCTTATCAACAGAAAGCAAACTAACTTCGTACATGTTTGCGCCAGGGTTACCAGCCAAAGCAAGCCCTGGCGGCGTAACTCTAATTATTTCGAATCAGATATGACCAAAGAGGTTGCGAACTTTGCTAAGAACCGCCTAACCGAATTTGTGAATTACACTGCACTTCATTCATGAACCTACCCGACCAAAACGTCTAGTAAGGTAGTCAGTACACTCCGCTGCTATGCCAACCGCATGTCCCCCGACCCTACCAAGTGTGATCCTGGAGCAATGTAGCTCATCCACTCCCCGTCTAATATATGGTATGCACACAGATGTATAACCCGCTTCCTTTTTTCTCGGTCTTGATCCTGCGCCCGGTACATATATCACCCACCAGTGCCCATAAAAGGACGCATGCATCATGCTAGAATGTTGTAGATAGACTGAAGCGAACACACGGAGCCACATCCACGACTGGGTTGTACCTGGGTTATCAGGTAAACTATTTTGCGTGCAAGCACGTTGTTGGTCTTCGTCGCTCAAAGTTTACTCTTCGGCCTGCCGGCCCTCGACTCGTCCGATACGACGGCGACGACGACGACAACGTCATCCACCTTGCCGCCACGCCAGTTTTCGTGGGGATACCACTTTTGGACCTCCTTGGCGAAAGGACCATCCCGTTTGGAGTTGATGCTCGCGGCTTTGGCCGCGGCGGTGATCTCGGTCGCGAGGACGCTCTGTAGGCTGACAGGTACCCTAGAAGGCGAGGAAGCCGAGCGTTGTTCTTGCGTCGCCGTTAGGGGGCGCAAATCATCGATGACGCGAATGCCGCCCTTGTTGTCTTCTGCCACGGCTTGCCCCTCGCTGTCAGAGGGCGTGGTGACCCAGGCTCCCGAAGACGTCATGACCCGGCGAGTGATGCGAAGGACATCTTGGTCGAAGAGGTTGTCCCACACGCCGTCGCTGGCAAAGACGAGAACGTCGCCGTGGCGAAGCTGATGGTGGGAGACGTCGGCGTCCCGGGGGAAGTCGCTGAGCTGGGCGCCGCCGAAGGCGGCCATGCGGGCGGCGACGGAGGGTGGTACGACGGAGAGCTGGAAGGGGGTGTTGAAGGCGTGGGTCTGCGGTTCCGAGGAGGCGTGGACGGCGCCGAGACGCAGCTGGAGGAAGCCGGAGTCGCCGAGGTTGGCGACGTCGAGGGTTCCGTCTGGGGCGGCGACGGCGACGCAGGCGGTGCTGCCGCCGGCGCGGATGGTGCGGTCTTCGCAGACGCGCTGATAACCGACCTGCAAGAGGTTGCGGGCCGACGGCGGGAGAGGGGTCGCGGTTTCGGCGGCGTCGGGGTTCTCGCTCTCGTGTTCGGAGGCGGCGGTGGAGATGTACTCGCAGAGGCCGTGGGCAAAGTCTGCAGGGTCGACGCCGGAATCGACCCAGCCTCCGACGCCGTCGGCAACGCCTAGGGCCACGGCGTTGGTGGTGCCTACGGGGCTGACAAAGAAGGCGTCATGGCCACTGTCCGGGCGAGCCGACTTGCTGCCCTTTGTTTGTGGGAAGCGGTTGTGGGAGTCGAAGTGGAAGACGTGGGTGGTCGGGTCGAAGCGGCGGTCTTTCCCCGTGAAGGAGGCGGCTACGTGGAAGGTAAAGGGGCCACTCGAGCCAGTGGGTGAATTCAAGGAGCTTGCTGTCGAAAAGGAGCGTCTGTCGGGACGGAAGGGGGGCGGGTCGATCGCCATGCGAGAGGGATAGGGGCGAGTGCGGCCTAGAGCTAAGTAAACGGGCTTTGGTTAGTCCAGATTGCTCAATTAAGAAACCAACGTCTTGATGTATATGTATGTATTCCTACCTAATCTATAGAGAGGACGGATGGACGAGAGTGATGGCAGTTGGTGACGAGATGCGATCAGCGTTGCAGCCATTGCTCTGAGTATGGTACAATGTGTCGTGGTTTCTGAAAGTCTCGTACCTTGCCCCTCGGCATGTCGAAAGGAAAGTGTACCAAAAAGTGATGAAGGAGCAAATTCAAGCCTTGGAGTCTGTAGCCATTACTCCCGAGTCAGATATCGAATATTGACAGTCGCAAATCACCACTCCAACAACAAAAACATGGGTGGGTGGGTTTTGGTACTGAGTTAAACTTCTTTCAAAGGAAACTCGAGATGCTTACAACAACCACCACATAATTACTCCGTCGGTACCTAATAAGGTACCTTAAATTTCAGGGTGGTATAAGGACGTACCGTAATGTAGTAGTGGGGCCTTAAGAAGTCCCCTACGTTTCTGTCACGTGGAATTCAAGTGCCCTGTTAGGTACCTACCTTAGGTATCTGTGTGATATGAGCCGTCGCATCTACACGTGTACCTACTCGGTCGTCTGCGGTGCAACATCAACCTCGCTTCTTATTCTGCTTGGTGCATCTGCTCCGCCGTTAGGCTTGCCAATCCAATCGCCGTGTATCATTCTGTCGACCTGTCAGGAAGCACACTAGAGTCACTGGACAGATTGCTCCTTTCCGCGAGCCTTGCCCTTCGCATAGTCGCCACGCCTTTGCCCCCGAACACGGCAGTTTTATGTCTGCCCTGAGAAACGAGGAATCCTTGTAGTGTACACTAGTGGGCAAGGTGGCGTAAGTGCCCTTGTGAAATGCTGGCCGCCTACAAGGTTGGTCCGAACAGCGGCAGCCTGCTCCGGGACGCGGCGATTTCGCTTTTAGCGTGACTAGATGTGACTGAACCTGTTTACTGGGAAGAGCCTCGATGAGCAAGTAGTTGACTCCGGCTTTGTGGGCAAGTCCGAATTTCTACCGCCCCGTGCTAAAGCATATCTTACTCGATGGTGTTTTAATGAACATAAGGCAAGGTACTGCACGGCCATGAACTACGACGTACAGTCATAACCAGTTTGTCAGGTCCGGCTGGCTGGCCATGGGCCTCACAAACTAAATGTACCTACGCAACGATATGAATTCATAGGTGCCGATCATGTTGGATTTCAACGAGAATAATGTTTCTTTCTTTCTTTCGCATGGGGAGGCTCCCATTCTCGTGTAATACTCCGTACCTACGAATCCAATCTCTCCGAACACACATAATGTGATTAAGTAATCAGCACACAAACAGTCCAGGATCCGGAATATGTATTCCCGAACCATCACGTGCTGCTTGTTCCGATAGCATTAAGTGGATCCAAAGCCTTCCAAGTCGTCCCTTCCCGCGCAGCGAGAGGGTTGAAAATGCATCGCCGTTGATTGGTCGACCCGCTTCGACTGCTCGCAATAGCCGAGGACCGAAGGGGAAGCCAAAACTTCCATGATGTCTTCACTTGTCACGAACTGACTTGTGTTGCCGCCACCCGCAATTTCACCTTGAACGGGCACAGAAACAAAAGAACAGCCGTGTTTGACGCCCGAGCGGATTGCGATCAGCTTCATTCAATACGCGGCTTTGGTCATCTTACCCTGCCTGAATTCCTCTCGCATTCCTAACTTTGGCCCCGCACACGGATCTCTCATCAGACAACCCCCGAGTCTTCGTTCGCCATCATGGCCGCTCTCCGCTCTACCTCAGCCAGAGCCCTTGGCTCGGCTATCAAGCCCGCCTTCCGCCCTGCCATGTTCGTTCGCTCCATGGCTTCTGTCAGCGACACCCCGTCAGAGAAGCCGCGCATGAAGACCTTCCAAGTCTACCGCTGGAACCCCGACACACCCACCGAGAAGCCGCGCATGCAGTCCTACACCTTGGATCTCAATAAAACCGGACCCATGATTCTCGATGCGCTGATCCGGATCAAGAACGAGCTCGACCCGACCCTGACCTTCAGGCGGAGTTGCCGAGAGGGCATTTGCGGCAGCTGTGCCATGAACATCAATGGACAGAACACCCTTGCTTGCCTCTGTAAGTCGCACTCCACTCTATTGGGGCTCCTTGCGAGGCCCATCTCGCCTGGAAGAGGACACCTCTTGCTCGATCCTTGGACTGCATGTTCCAGTAGTACATGGGACTGACAATCTCTTCAGGCCGTATCAATACCGAGGACGCCTCTGAGACGAAGATCTACCCCCTCCCGCATACCTACGTCGTCAAGGATCTGGTGCCGGATCTCACCCTCTTCTACAAGCAATACAAGTCCATCAAGCCCTACCTGCAGAGAGACACCCCGTCCCCCGACGTACGTCCCCACACCCCCCAAAGTCATCTCTTCAGACATCAGGGCCTTCTTCTTCTTTGGTGGTCCCGCTGACAGTAGAACAGGGTAAGGAATATCGTCAAACCAAGGCCGATCGCAGAAAGCTTGACGGCCTCTATGAGTGCATTCTGTGCGCCTGCTGCTCGACATCCTGCCCCTCGTACTGGTGGAACTCGGAGGAGTACCTCGGTCCCGCCATCCTTCTCCAGTCCTACCGCTGGCTGGCCGACTCGCGCGACGAGCGCACGGCCGTGCGGAAGCAGGCCCTCGACAACTCCATGAGCCTGTACCGGTGCCATACCATCCTCAACTGCACCAGGGCGTGCCCTAAGGGTCTGAACCCCGGCCTTGCCATCGCGGAAATCAAGAAGCAGATGTCTTTCTAAACACTGGCTGAGGGGTAGAGGGATCGATTGTGTACAGGTATTGGAAGAGGGTTGGGCGGCGAACAGACTTCCCGTAAGAACTGGAGCGAAAGAAGGATGGAAAAAAAAACTGTGGAGGCTAGTGGAATAACATTTGACGGGAGAACCTGTAGTTGGCAAAAATGGGATGCCGACGAAGGGCGGTCATTCCGATTTTCCTGGATTGCTGTAGATTCTCGAAACTGCGTCAAGGTAAAGTGTACTTTACAGGCATGGACGGAGTTCAGGCCACGAACTTGCAATACAAATTTTCTTATACTGTTACCCCGGGTTCCCGGACCGCCCTCACGAGCAAGGCGCGTGTCATACGAACTAAGAACGGATTTGTCGAAGGTGCGGCCCGTAGCCACGGAGACAAGGATGGGCGAGATAATAGACGCATCATTTTATTGTATTGGCAGGTGTGTGTCTAAAACATTGCTCGCCACGTCCAAAAGGACCAACGCGGAAGATCACACACCCCACTATCGCGATGCCTCCTCATCCACTGGTGTCCTCGACACCAACCTCTCTACCCCTTCTCCCTCCGCTCTCGCTACCCCACCCACGCGCCCCGTCTTCCGCTCGATCATGTCATCCATGAAATCGATGACATCGACCATGTTAGTGAGCGAGTTGAGCTGTATACGCTCGGCCTTGGACAGCAGTGAATGCTTGTCGGGGCCCATGCCCGGCCCGCACATGTCGTTGAGGTGGTGCACGATGAGCTTGAGGTGGAGCGGGGCGCGGGCGGCGTGGCGGAGGAAGGATTCGACTGCGGACCAGGGACAGGATTCGTGGCCGGCGTAGAGGGCCGGGTTGGCGAGGATGCCGCGGGCCGACATGAGCCCGGCGAGCTTGGTCGTGCTCGGTTTAAAGTGTATTGAGGGCGAGGTGGTTTGTGGGGATTGGTACAAGGCGCTGCCGTTTTCTTGTGACGCGGGGTTCAAGTCGCGCGAGGGATCTGCGGATGTTGTAATGGTAGGGCTCGCGGCATTTCTAGACAGGAGGGGTGAAAGGGGTAAGGACGCAAGAGAGAAGACGTCCCCCGAGAGAAGGATGGGGAGGGTGTCGCCGTATTTCTCGACGAGTATGGCGAGAGACTCGCCGAAGATAGGTGCGCTGGAGGGGGTGGTCCGCGTCCGAGGGTGGATGGTGAGGAAGTCGATATGACGGTCCTGGGGATGACCTATGACGGTGTCTATAAAATCCATCGTTCTCCTTGATGGCTTGTCAGTCGCCGTTGCCGTTCCGAGTGGTGGAAAGGAGGCCCAGGAACGAAGACCGGTCGACTCAACTTACCGGAGATCCGTATGAACCCGAATCTTTACACTAATGCTACGTCCCTTGGGGTTCTCCATGTCTTTTTCTTTGTCGACGGCCCAGCCATCCCTTGCCAGCCTCTCCCGGGTCTCGACGACCATGTCTCTTACGAGTTCCCGGCGGCCCATGAGCGCGGCTCCCATGGTTTCGGCGCAAGCCCATGACTGGGGACATCCACAGTTCAGATCGACGCCGTTGACATAGGGAGCTACTAGTGACGATGACCGTGTCAGTTCTGTTGGGCTATTGGCGCCGAATTGAACGATAGTCGGGGGCTGCGGTCCTTGTGTTGATAAGGTGAGGTCTTGAGAGGTTCTCGGTCAGAAACGTGGCTAAGAGGCAGGAAGGAGCAAGAAAACATACCGCTATCTCTCGCAAAATGGCTCCGATTGAATTCCTTGGACAGGATCATGGGAGTGAAGCATATATCGGTCCCATACTCATAGACGGTCCTTCTGAACGCAAGCTAACCGAGACAATTGTTGAGTGAAACCCCGTGAGCGAGTGGCGAGGGACTTAACGAGAGCTAGGGTGCTTGGTATGCGTACTTTGCTGTATCTCACCATGGGGGCGGACACGTAGAGGAATCGGTCCTGACGCCTCGCAGCGTCGAATATTTTGAGGGGACTGGAGTTGATATGAGTATGGATATGATTTTCGTCCGACGAAGCCGGGTGCAGAGTTGGACCAGCACATACTGCAGATCAGGGTAGAGAACATCGTCCCAAACTCCGTTATCCATTTCTTTCTTCTTCTTTACCAGATACTAGTAAAGCACGAGCAGGTATCCTGCTAGATAATGCATACTGCGTTAATCTTAAAGAAACCGAGTCTATAAGAAAAGCATAATAGTTTTCAAGGTTATTGGCATAGGACTGAGCGAGCGAGTCTTCGGTGAAAGTGGGGGCGGGGCGGGGCCTCACCGAGCTACACCGAGAAATCCCGATCGAGAACCCACGTCCCAGTGGATTGGTCCTGGCTCTTGTCCTCGACCCAGGGAATTACTCCCTAGTAGGCAACTTCGCTCATGAGATTTTCGTGTCAGAAGCCTTTGCCACAAGGAACACGCACGATCTACTCGACGTTGCCGCGATACCCGAAGCTTGAAAGCATCTGGCACATATAGACATCCTTTACCCGCCCGTTCAAAGCTCATCCCAAACCCGTATCCGGCAGTTGGTCCGGCGACTGTGCTCAAGTTGCAAAAGAGAAAGCCTCGACATACTCGCCGCATATTTAATCGCTAACTTTGATACGGCCGGTGTGACGTTGTGATGGGCAGCAATTACCATCGCATGATGCGGAATCGCCTGGGGGGGGGGGTTTGATTGTTGTCCAATCCCTTCGGCAAAAAAAAGCGTCGAGTTCGGTGGGTTTGGTGGTTGTTGCTGTACAATGCTCTCGGTAACAGATATCCTCGCAGGATACGGAATTGCCCGGAGGGGTTTTGATTGATGTACAACACCTTTCGCAATGAGTAACATTGCAGGTCCCGGTACCGTCTTGGGGAGTACAATGCCTTCCGCAATGAACAACATTGCAGAATGCGCCCCCGGAGCGTTTGGGGATCATCATGGACTTTCGGTAATACTCGTGTCGGTGACTGTTGGCTGCTGTTGCTCCTCCTGCTGCTGCTGCTGTTGTTGTCGTTGCTGCTGTTGTTGTTATTGTTGTTGTTATTATAACCAGGGACGTCACGGTAGTACGGGTGGTGCAAGGAGGGGGAGTCGGTTTCAGGTCTGGATGCGAGGTAGAAGAACACCTGCGGGCACAGAATTTTGAGCCTTTCCGTAGTCTAAAATGCAGCAGGGTAAGCGGAGAAAATAGATAGAGACTCACGGTGTGCATTTCGGGACCTCCGGGGATGCAGTGTGTAGGCCGAAACCTAGCGTAAGGACCAAGACTCGTCCGAACAGCATCTCGGTGACACTTCCCCAGCATTGAACGTCGAAATATCAAGCGGCGAATAAGGAGCTTGTTCTTCTTTAGACAGCGAGAACTTGAATGGTCTGTTGAAGGGATTCTTGAGGAAGGAAGAAGCAGAACTTCAGGGCCCCGGACGCAGGTATAAGCTATCCAATGCCCCTGGTGAATGAATCTCTGGGGGCGTGACTCTCCCCCTTTCTCCCTCTCTATGACACACTCAGTACTTCGTATCCGTAGTTCAAGTTAGACTTCAGGCCATCTGAGAAGAATTATCAAAGTCTCAAGCGCAACCCAAGCGGGAAATGGCTGGAAACAAGAGCACCACGGCCAGCGCCCCAGGCGCCGCCCCGCGTGGAGGGTAATGTGCAAAAGTTTCGAGGCAGTTTGCACGAAGTACCTAATGACGCATTGAAATTCCTCTAGCCCTTCTGCGAGGACGATAACATGATATCCTCCATATGGACACAATAAGGTAGAGAGCACCTACGACAAGCAACCCAGCCACCGACCCTTTTACCCGGGAGACAGAGGAAGATGCACGACTTCGAGCGCATCATTACCCCCAAAACGGAGAGAACGACAGAAACCTCAATTATCGAAGATGATGTTCCTCATCCTTTGCCAAGGATCTGTTCCACACTCTTCGGTGTCAGCCTCTGAACGATTGTGAGAGGCAATGTAAACCAGGGATTCAACAGACGAGTTGCCTTCCCTTCCCTTGGACGCTACCTTGTTATTCCCCGCTATCTTTGTCTCGCGAACGCCGTGCTCCAGGACATGTTCCAAGCTGCCCCCCTTGCGTTCCTAGCAGATCAATTTGCTCGTAAAGGTGCTGCCGAGCTCCATGCCACCCCCTTTCCTGATATCGTAAAGTTTGGTAATTGTACACTTTGAGAAATATGTATGAGAGACGAAAAGAAAGCAACGGGGAAGAAAATAAGGAAGTAAACAAAAGAAGGGGAAAAAAAAAAAAGGATGTCAATGCTCGCTTGGCCCCCTCATTTTCGTAGGCAGCCACTCCTGAGCAGGAAATATAAGTCGTACATGGAAGATGAAATTCTCCCCCCCCTTGCATACCGAGCCCACACCGAAGGGATAAGAATAAGATGTAGGTGTCATGGGCCGAGTCTGGTATTGTTCAGGATTCGAGCACCTCGCCCTCGTCCTCATCTGACAGTCTTGCTCGTTTGCTATCCCGGCCATCTATATCTGAGTCTACGTCTTTCCTCTTGGACGCAGGCGAGACAACACCGTTCCCATTAGTCCTGGCGGCGTCCTTCGCAGCCGGCTGGGACCCAGATTCCGCCTGGACTGCATCATCGCGGCCGCCAACGGATCTGTCTGCGTCGCGAGGCGTTCCAGCGGTCGAGGATAGGTTGTCACCCGGCGGCGGATCTTTGGGCCGCCGTGTGCTCTCGATGTCGAACGCCGGCGACGGCAGCGACCGATTGCGCTTCTGGAGAGGGTTCTCGGCGTAAAACTGGCGCATCATGGTGATGCCGAGGGTGCACTTGGACTCGTCGGCATCGATGGCCTTCCACCACGCCTGATCGCCCACGTCGGAGATCTGTTGCGCGGTGTGGACGCTGGCGAAGAAGATGGCCGTGATGGCGATGTCCCGGGCGTCGAGTATGAGGGGTATGGATGTGAGGCAGGCGTCATTGCAAAAGGCCCAGGCGGAGTGTCGCAGGTTCTTGTTCTGTACAACGTTGAGGTGACGTAACATCTCAAACATCCGTTGGTACGGGTTGTCGACCATCAGATCGAATGTCAGGAGTTCCAGCATGAGCTCCTCATAGGCCAGGATGTTGTCCCTCCATCGCCAATACTCCTTGCTCTGCTCGTCGATAATGAGTTTTGTATTCTTCTGCGCAACTTTGGCGACCGTGATAATAATGTTCTTTGTCTTGCGGCAGTTCTCTTCCGTCTTATTAGCGAGGAAGAGCGCGGCCGCAGCAATATTCTACCATATCGAGTCTTGTCAGTTTCTGGGGGTTTCCGTTTCTTCGGAAAATCTAAGTATAACTGAAAGCGTAGTTGAAGTGTACTCACATAATGATGGATACCGCCCTTCTCCTCAACCATGCTGTATCGCATATAGAACCGATGGAAGAAGACGCCCGCAACCCACATGGTGATCTGAGGGAGATCCAGCATCACACCAGCCTGATAGATGAAGTTGACGCCCTTGGCACGGCGTAATCTTTCTTCGGCTGGGGAAATTCCATCTATAATTGTCGGCGTGCTGGCTATCTCGTCGGCGTCGAAGTACCACTGCCGCTGTCCAAGCGGTAATGGAGTCTGGGGTCGAGAGTGTGGTGAAGGCTGCGAAGGTTGTGCGTCTCGACGAGATTGAGATCGTGGCGGGGATGTTCTTGATGAGCTCGTCGGGGGGCTAGGCACGGCTGGAGGAACATCCCGCTGCTGTCGAACGGGTGATCTCGAGGAAGATGTTGGTCGCGGCACGGCGACCACTGTGGGAGGTTGGTACCCTTCCCGCGGAGGACGCCATCGATCAATGTTGGCCATTGCCGTGATTATAATATGAAAATAGAAAGCGCCCAGAGTCGACAGGTCGATATTCAGCCTGTCTGATAATGGGGACAGTCGGTAGGTGGATATCGGTTGTGCATCGAGAGATTCGCTTTGCGGAATGGATGTCGATAGAAAATGGGAATCGATTTATTGACGATGAATGGATGGACTGCGTCTTGAACTTGATTGTATTACGGAGTACCTTATCCACATGGGTACCTCCTATCTTATCGCAACTGTCTGGGGTCAGGCGATGTGGCGGTGCAACCCCCTTCTATTTTGGGAACCTACAGTGAACAACCCGTACCGCCACTGCCGAAGACGATGAACTTTGGAGAGAAGCCGCTCATAACTGTACCAGAGGTTGGCTGATGGTTCCCACGAATATTTTAGTCATTGCAGTCTCGTAAAATAGGGGTTTTACTTCGTATAGCGAGGGAATAAATTTGTACCCCGTAAGGTACCTAAGGTATGTTGTGTGCCCGCCGCCCTGTGCCGCCGCACAGGACTACAGACGGAGTCTCGCGAAAGTTGATTGCCATATCGGACTGCACTCCCCGACCTCATGCGAACATGCAATTGAAGGGGAAATACCAAGATAATCATAGAAAGAGTAGGAGAAGATAATATATGGGTATCATTTTTTTTGCCGAGATTTAGAAGATCTATGGGATTATGGGTCAAGGGAGCATCCACCAACTTCATATGCCCTCCATGTCATTGCGTCCCCACAGCTTTACGGTTCTGTCGTGACCTCCGCTCACAATCCACTTCCCATCGCGACTCACGTCGACGCTCGCGACAGGACCTGTGTGTCCACTAAGTGTATGGACGAGGCTCCAGTCGTCGGCTGAAAAGACTTTGACCTTGTTGTCGAAGCCGCTCGAGACGAAGAAGGTGCCCGACTTCTTGGGTTGCTGAGATCCCTTGTCGTCCGTTCCTGGTGGAGTGCCATCCACTGGGCCATCCAGCCCCTTGAACCACCTCAAGTCAGAGACAGCGCTCGTGTGTGCGCCTAGGGAAGTTGTACTCTGCACTTTGCGAACATCCCAGCACTTGACCCAACCATCAGCCGATCCAGACAAGACCCTGTGTCCGTCTGTGCCCCAGTCCAGGGCGTGGATGGGCCTGATGTGCTCATCGAGAATCATGACGGTTCGGCCTGATCTCATATCCCAGATCCGCCCAATGCTGTCCAAGCCAGCACTGGCCAAGAGGGAACCGTCCGTATTGAAACTCACGGCATAGACGCCTCGCGAATGTCCCTCCTGTAGCAAGAGTTCCTTGCTTGTCTCGACGTCCCATAGTCTCCAAGTCGTGTCCTCAGACGCAGAAGCAAGGTACCGGCCAGAAGGGTGGAATTCGACTCGGCACACACGGGCACTATGTCCACTCAGCGTTGAGAGCGGGGTGTCTTGGTTCAATGACCAGAGATGGATGGCGCCTTCAGCACCTCCGGATGCAAGATTGACCGCGCCTGCCGAGACGTTCCTCTCTGGAAGCGTGGCCCCTGGGAACCACGATAGACCGCTGATTTTGTTGGTGTGTCCCCTCAAATTCACCCTCTCTGTCAAGTTTGGAATCTCGATGAGCTTAACGGAGCCGCCCCAGTTGCCGACCGCGACAAACTCGCCATTGGGGGAGATTCTCGTCATGCTGACGTGTCGGTCGCCTGCGGTCTGACTGCCTTGCAACTCGAAGCCCTGGATCTTTTCTTTGATTTGTTTCCGAAACTTGACGTGGGTTCGAAGAGGTATTGTCGACTCCTGCTTTTGGAACTGAACTCGCCGTTTGGCACGGGATAGGGAAAAATGGGCGATGTTGATGCGCGACTCGAGGAGTTGCGGGCCGCCTCGTGAATAGAACTCCTCTTCTTGCTCTTCCTCTTCTTCTTTCTCTGCCTCGTCTGCTGCATCCTTCATCTCGATATCATCTTGCTCCAGACCGGCAAGCTCCTTCTGGATAGCCAATAGTTGTCTTAGGCGGTCTCTCCTTTCGGGGGGACCCTCGCCAAATAGCGTGATCGGTTCTCCGAGTTCTCTGAGCTTTGCGCGGACCCTTCCATCATCAGTGGGAACCGCAATGCTAGCAGCAAGTCGTTTTCGCTCGAACTGAGCCAAAACCGCAGAGGCTTTCTCGGATCCCAAACCAGCTGAGGCCGAAGGAATATCGTAGTCATGGTCAACGGGAACATCTTCAAGCGCTATTCCCCTGTCCTCGTCCATGGCTTCTTCCACGTACGCCTGGCGATCCGGGTGCATCATGGTGGGCGGATCGTGGGTGTACAAGACAGCCCTTGATTAAGCCGTGATGAATATTGCCGACAGGTCGCGATCTTCGGGTCACAAAGTTGTTGGCTGATTCGGGGGGAGGTACGGAAAGGAAATCCAATCGGCTTACGACACTCTCCTGGGTTATGTCAGCAACCACACCGTCTGCCACTCGGGATCGCGTGTACCTACCTATTATCCTGTCCTGCCTTGGCGTGCAGAATCACGTACAAAGTTCGCCAAATTGACTTAAACTATCAGGATTAGGTAGTCAAGGACATATCGAGGAGATACCTGCTCTGGTGCTTGAACCCATAATTATGTCTGACTAATCTGAGAGCCTAAAATGACATGACTCTGTAACAATTATAAGTACCTTAGGTAGATAAGTCTCCTAATGAGCTGGCTTGTGCGATGTTGTTTATTGACGACACAGGGACCTGTGCAAGTCAAACTGTTGTTTAACTTGTTTTCTTCTGTCTCGACTTCGTCGGCTTTGCAGTCAGGGTCCGGAAGATGGGTACGGTGGGACTGGTCACTTTCTTCATGTAACTGCGATGCTGTCTTCCGCCGTACGGCCAAGTACCTTATTCTCTAGAGTTACCTGGGCCCAGCGCCGACCACGCCGACCTCATCTCTCGTCTTCGGACAACCACCTCACTGTGGCCAAAAGATACGCCGTGAAAAGGAGACCGTCCGACTAGCCACGCAAGTCGGTGAACCGAGCCAAATATCAACCATAAAGTTGATAGTATATTTTTTTATAAGCCGTGGATTCGAATCCAGCAAAAGGGTCCATAGACAAACCATCACATACTGGCCGCAAAAGCGCCAAACTTCACTTCTAAATTTTCGGGTTTCATAGGTTACTTGGACGAATTAGGGGGTGGCGGCCAAGGTACCTAAATAGGTACTCGGAATACTGTCCGGCTTTTTTGGGGCTGAATCTAAACGTAATACTTAACCAATCAGGTATCGCGTCGCAGTTGGTGTCGAGATACTTTGGCCCAAAGTCAGTCGTTTGCAAGTTCCTTCCACCGAAGCGACCACTGAACGAGGGGCACACGTGAAGAAAGAGAAAATACGGCTAATAATAGGGACCTGCCCAGTTTGAAGATTCAAGACCTCCAATTCCCTTTCCTCCCTTTCTTCTTTTGCTCCCTCAACACCTACTCGGTGAACTTCTTTTCAAATCGAACATAACAAAGCATCACCAATGATCAATCCTGGAACACCCTTTCTCACCAACGCATTCTTCCGGCACCAGATGCGCTTCCCGAGCCACATAAAGCTACAGCGAAGCGACGAGTCCGAGCCACCAACACGTCGCCGTGGACTACGTCCAATTTAAGCCGTCGAGAAACCTGTTCCGCTGAGCTGAAGGGGCTCATACCGATTAGAGACCACCGCAGCCGAAACTAGCTAGACACAAACATACAACGCGACGAGCTGGGCGCATGTGGCGTCGGCCGCTTCGACCTTCTCCTAGACATCGGCAACCAAAGCGACATCCACACGAACTATGATAACCAAGGCGGCGCCCGCACTGACTACGGTGCGCGGCTTTCACCACCACCACAACACCCTGGCTACTTCCACCGACGACGATTCGGACCATGGCTCGTGCAAGGCGTCGCCCTCCAGGTCCTCGGGGTCCGTCAGGCAGCATCGCATCGACGACGTAATCAGCGCCAATTGCAGCCCCGTCATCCGCCCTACCCACTCACCCGGAGTGTCAGGAATTGCGAAATTGCGTCTCCAGACAGAATCTCTGAGCCTGGACACGTCTTCTCGTACGAGCACCATGTCGCAGGCCCCCTATGGTAACCAGTTAGGGCTAGGCCTTGGCATCGCTCCTAGTACTGATACGTCGGGTCTCCGGAGCACTGCCATGAGCCGAGCCGGGAGCCAGGACGGCACCCAGAGCGAGGCTGGTAGCGATCAATCCGAAGGATACGAGATCAATCTGGAGCAGGGCTACATCCACGAAAGCGTTCGCGACCGGTCTGGCCTCCCCGGCTCCGGCGACGGAGGCAATGTCCATCGCAAGATGACCGCCGAGGATTTTGAACCCCTCCGCTGCCTTGGCAAGGGCGCGTACGGCACTGTGCTTCTAGTAAAGCAGCGAGGCACGGGGAGGCTGTACGCACAGAAGCAACTTAAGAAGGCTTCTCTCACCGTTCACAAGAAGCTGGTCGAACAGACCAAGACGGAACGCCAGATCCTCGAATCCGTCAACCGCCACCCCTTTGTGGTCAACCTGTACTATGCCTTCCAGGACCACGCCAAGCTTTACCTGATTCTCGAGTACGGCCAGGGCGGGGAGTTGTTCACCCATCTGAACACGGAGAAGATGTTCGCCGAGCCCGTGGCGGCCTTCTACATGGCCGAGTTGCTGCTTGCCATCTCGCACCTGCATACCACTCTGGGTGTGGTGTATCGGGATCTGAAACCGGAGAACTGCCTCCTGGACGCCGAGGGCCACCTGCTTCTGACTGACTTCGGTCTATCCAAGGTGGCGGTTGATTCGGGCGACCACTGCAATTCTATGTTGGGGACGGTGGAGTACATGGCGCCAGAGGTCATTCTGGGTCAAAAATACGGCAAAGCAGTGGACTGGTGGTCCTACGGGGCTCTGGGATACGACCTGATGACGGGCAACCCGCCTTTTCGGGGGAGCAACAACGCCAAGATTCAAGAGAACATCGTCAAGCAGAAGCTCATCATGCCGTACTTTCTCGGCCCGGACGCGAAGGACCTCCTTACCCGACTCCTGCGGAAGGACCCAGCGAAGAGGCTGGGATCGCACATGCCGAAGGATCTTCAGACGATCAAGAATCATCGTTTCTTCCGCAAAATCGACTGGAAAAAGCTCGCCGCCCGAGAAATGGAGCCGCCCATCCAGCCTCTGATCACCGACCCTGAACTGGCCGAGAACTTCGCCGAAGAGTTCACCGACCTCGCCGTCAGCCCTATCGTGACGTCGAAGAGTGTCTGGGAGGGCCTGTCGGCCAGAGAGAGCAACAAAGACGATCTCTTTGGCGGCTTCAGCTTCGTGGCGCCGAGCAGCCTCTTGGAAGGCGGTGCTTTCCCCATTGCGGCATAAATCGTGAAAATAGACCAATAGACAGACTACTGCTACGTTGTCACATATCGGCGTTGGGTTGGGACAAAAGTGTTTTTTTTTTTTTTTTTTGCGAGACGAGCGGGGCCGGGAAAGCGAAAAAGAACAGAAAGAGCAAACCCAAAAGCAGGACGACAAGCCAAGGTCAGGAAAACGAGGCCAACAGAACAAGATCGAGCGAGGGACTGTTTCGGAGTTAGGTGTTTTTGACAGGTAGAATTTGAGCTGATCGTTCTCGACCATGCTATTGCTAGCCGACTCCCGTTTGCTTTGTCTCTTTTTTTACCCCTTCAAAATGGAGAGGTGGTGGTGATTTCCTCGAGTCTGATCATGGGGCGTTTGCACTGGTCCTCCCTCCGTCTGGGGAGAGTCCGGGGATCACCACACCGGGGACAGTACGGTGATCATAGGAGGGTAACGACCCGAGAATCCACTTCCCCTGACCCGCCCCCGGCTTCGGCTCCGCAGCAACCACACGACAGACAAAAGATTGCTTTGGATGTCCGCAGAGAATTCCAAACGTTACCCATTCCTCTTCGTACTTTCCTGTTCTGAACGGCTCTGCAAGTGAGATGAGGAGGTTACACGAGTCCTTGCAGTACGCGGATCAACCGGTGGTTGTCGTTTGGGCCTGACCTATTCGTTTCTCTTTCGAGATAATATCCTGACTATCAAAGCCCCTGGGTAATATTATTCCATTTCCGCCGCCTAGGTAGATGTTGCTGGCCAAGCATGGTGGGAAGTCACGTCATACCGCCACTGTTCCCGGACGACTCCTGGTGCTAGTGCTGTGAGGAAGACGAGTATAGTGCGCGGCATGACTTCCCATCGCGAAGATAATCAGCCATCATGCTCATCTCGTCACGCAGCAGCGTTCATTCTTGTCCCGCGGTACATCGATCAAATTACATTCGATTTCTCTCTTGGACAGCGGTGCCCCATGGGGTTAGCGAGTAAGTGCACCAGTCGGTTGATTCTCTCTCTCTCTCTCACCTCGCATGCATTTTGATAGCAAAGCCATCCGTCCCCATTGTTTTACGCTATCTAAGCTGCGTTCTCCCTCTATTATCGGACGTCCTACCCAATGCTCGTAGATGCCACCTTAGAAGTTGTCTTCGTGCCCTCCTTATTCTTCGTTATGCCTGCGAGCTCAAGCCCAACGACAATGTCCACCACAGGATGACCGTCCCCGATCTTCCACCCATTCAAACAAGACAAGCATATTTCAAGAAAGCTAAATGAAATACGAAACCTCTGAATTGAGGGTGTTTTCCCCTGAAGTCTGGTACAGCCAGTTGGCAAGAAGCGCGGAACATATTTTCTTTGTATTGCATGCATGAAAAGAGCTTCGGAGCCTATGTCCAAGAATGAAGATCTTGGCGGGAAAGACACTGAACTTCCGGCGGACGTAGTTATGAAGCTCCATAAGCTGTATCGGCCTTTCGAGGCTGCTTGTTTGAAAGGAAAGCGTATCTACCTTCGTCGTCTAAGGTTGGGTTGGCTGGGCGTGTGTCGAGTTCCTTGCCCGGGAAGCGGCTGATACAATTTCCAGCCAGGTCTCCCGTACACGAAAGTCGAGGCCCTTACCTCGGTCAGTCACGGTCACGTGACCACAGCGTCGGAACGCTTCTACCCAAGTTTCGTTTTTCGCCTCAGGCCACCAACCAGGACCCATGATCCAATCAACCCGAGTTCATCCAGCTTTTTCATCATCGACGTCCCAAAACCTCTCAACGACCGACCCCTTGACCCTTGAGCCGTGCATCGCCCAATTGAGCACGTCACGTTCATCAAGATGCTCGTCCAACTGTCCAGAGTCTCTGTACGTTCTTGTCCTCCCCTCTCCCTGCGTTGTTGCGAAGGATACCCGAGGCCCTTTCGGGGGTGACAAAACAAGGAGGCTTGCTTACCAAGTTTTGATTCCGGACAGCGTGCCGCTTCGGCCGTCACCCGCAAGGCCGTGCAGAGCAATGCCGTGCAAATGAGGACATTCATTGCTCCGACCGTTTCGCGACGTGGTGCGTATAATTTTTTTTTTTCTTTTCTTTTCACTGATACCGACCCGCATTGGATACAACAAGCCTACTTTTGCGGAGGAACCGGTGTCGGGGAGCGGGGGAACGGAGGTGCCTGGGTGGTTGGCACTGGGTATATGGAGAGGAATTGAAGGCATCATGTCTGCGGACAGTCCATATGGAACATTCCATGTGGGCATGTTAAGCACAACCACTCCATGTGTCAACCCGGCTTTCCTCCTTCGACCCTACATCCTCTTCCACAGATGGCACATCCCTACCCTACCAGTTTGAGATATCTCGGACTCTACGAACCCTTCAATCTAACTTGCACTCTTTCTTCCTATAGCCGATTTCGTTCAGGAGCTCTACCTCAAGGAGCTCAAGGCCTACAAGCCCGTCCCCGTCAAGGACTCCGACGCCGAGGGCCAAGTCCAGACCTTCAACCTTCCCAAGACCCCCGCCTCCCCCGAGGAAGCCGACCTCGCCAGCTCGCTCCAGGAATACGAGTCCATGGCCGTCGAAGTCGAGGGCGCCTCTGTCGATTCCGCCGCCGCCCGTCCCACCAAGACTGCCGCGACCTGGCTCGTCGAGGAGGAGGGTGCTCACTAAGCTGTCCCACGTCCCGAGATCAACATCCGCACTTTCCCCCCCCGCTGCTCACGGCTCCCTTTCCTCTCTCCTGCCTCATACTTCTTCAAGTACCGACCGAGTGAGTGATTCGAGAACGGAAATCTGGGGCCATAGCTGGGCGGGGTAGTGACCTTCCTTTTTATCCGTTGCAAGAGAAGAGAATAAAAGCGCCCACTTGAGAAGCGGGATTGCAGTCGTCATTCTCGAGGGTTGCTTGGAACTGGCATAATGACGAATATGGACTGGGAGCGGAGGAGAGAAGCATGATGGAGGGAGAGGGTGGTCGCTGTAGTGGCGGCCCCGTGTATATTGTGTCCCTTGCTGAACCTCTAGGTTTAGAAAATGCGAATTCATGCGAACATAGCATACTTTTGGAAGAATTTCATTATCCTGCCTTTCTACTCTTCTCTCATGGATCATCTGCCTTGCATCTCTTTTGACACGAATCTCGGCCTCGTAACTGGACTTCAGTTTTGGGCAATTATCCCATGTCTCTCGGCTTCGCTGGTTCTCCTACATACGCCAGAACCGTCGAGTTCAGGTCATGCCCCTCAACCGAAGCGCGGAAAACAAGAAAAGAAGATGAACACTATGCCGCCACGACATCTGGGGACAATCACAAAGTAACTACGACGCAACGGTCGATCGTTGGGGAAGAACATAAAATGGTTACACTACCTATACCTATGTATACATACCTAAGCTCCATGTAAGTTCTATCCATATGCGTGGAGGCATAGTAACCAACTTCTATGCGGTACAAATCTTTTCGTCGACGAACACGTAGGAACAGCGATAGGTGACCCTTTGTCATGGCCGCCTTTATCATTATTCCCAGTTTCGACGGTAGGTAGCTACTCAACAGGTGTGGAAGGACCCTGGTCGCCTGTTTTCAAGGGGATATTAATATGCTCCCGCCACTGACTGTCTTGTCTCCTTGTCCATCTTCTCGGTGTGTTTCCCAGCCGGGAACTTCTGATACTTCCTTTCTGTTGAAGCCCTGATTAAGAGCTTGTGTTCCATTTAACATGCTGTGACTGACTACCTACCTGCTGTAGCGTCACCAGTCTTTGGGAGAGATCCTGCCCTAGAGGAAAAACAGTCCCATACAAACTACTTGAACAATCCTAGTTGCACAGCGGCTCTAGTGGCTCGTCCGTCAACAGAAACCACGCACATGTAACTAGATTACGAGGACGAGAGGGATGGTAAAAAGTAGAGAGGAATATACATATACCCTCTCGGATAAGGGAAACAGCACCTAAAAACTACAAGATCCCTAGGGTATAAAGAACCAGCTAGAATCCTTATTATCCGTATCACTTATTGCCCGTGACCTTCTTCCCAATGGCATTCCGGTCTCCCGTAGTCCTGATGGTTTTCATTCGTTTTCTTGATTCCAAGCGGGGTTCGAAATACTATCAAAAGATTTACATGCCCCGTCACGTTCAATAAATGCAGGTGAGAATAAAGACTCGGGGGAGGCGGTATGCTGCAAAGGGACGTTTGAAGGCTGTTTTCGGAGGCGATCAAGAAGCAGAGGGCTGGCTGACGGCTGTTCCATTCCCAAAGGCTCGACTCATCGCACTTCTCCAACGCCTCATCCCCACGCGTCCTCAAGCAAGAAAAAGAAAACCATGCAAAAAGCAACCGCCCATATGCAAATGAACCTGTGTCTCGTATCATCCTTCGTGATAGGTAGTAGTGCTCCTACGTTGTTTTGTTGACAGGGAAAATACAAGTGCGTGGTATAAAAGCCAATCGGTCGCCAGCGAAATAAAGGAATAGGAGGTGATATGGCACAGCGATGTAGCCTCTAGTCGTCGAAGTGCGAATTGCCGATCATCGGGTCATCGTGCGTATCACTGCTGTCGTTATCGTTCGTGCCCTCGATGCCGCTCATTCGGTTGCCCCGCCGAGGGGCGACGTCTCCCAAGTCATCCCAATCGTCGTCATCTCGGCGGTGGCCATGAGCATCATGCATATCTTCGTCGTCGTATCGGCGCCTGTCGCGCATGTGATCGTCGAGAGCGCTCTCGTCCACGAATGTGAAACCTTGGAAGTTGGCCTGGACTGAAGGAGAGAGGGGAGTGGAAGTCGTCAGTCCCTTGGCCAATGCGGCCGCCCTCTCATTCAAGGATCCGTTGTTGTCCAAGGCATTGGTGAACTCCGGGTCGAAATAGGAGACGTCGGTGGCAGATGACAACTTGGGCTTGAATGGCGGGGTAATCAGCTTCTTCGAGAGCGTAACCCAGTCGATGTCCTCGAAGAAGAGGTGCTGCTTGAGCTCCTCTGCATCTAATGTCGCGCCAAGTCGGTGCTTGGGGTTCCTGTTGAGAAGCCCCTTGACAAAATTCCGCCCTTCCTGTGAGAGAGTATCCCTAGGAAACCTCACTTTGCCGAAGGCGATGTTCTTGTACATCTGCTGCGTGTCCTCCGCATAGAACGGGCTCCACCCACAGCACATCTCGAAGACGAGGACGCCCAGTGACCAAAAGTCCACCATCTTGGTGTAGCCCGACTCGTCGAGAAGTACCTCGGGGGCGAGGTACTCTGTCGTACCACAGAACGTGTTCGTCGTATCGTTCTTGGTGAGGTTCGCCTTGGACAGGCCGAAATCACACAGCGCGATGTGACCATTGGCGTCGAGAAGAATATTTTCCGGCTTGAGGTCGCGATACACGATGTCGTTTTTATGCAGATGTTCGATCGCGAGAATGAGTTCGGCGATGTAGAACTTGGCTCGTTTCTCGTCGAATCGGCCCTCTTTCTGCAGGTGCCAGAAGAGCTCTCCGCCCGACATGTAGTCGGTAACCAGATAGAGATCCGAGGGCGTTTGGAATGAGAACTTGAGGCCCACGATGAACGGCGATTCCGTCATGGCAGTCCGGACGAGAATGTTCCTCTCGCCGACAGTATGGGCGACTTCCTTTTTCTGGACAATGACTTTCTTCGATAGGACCTTCATGGCATATATCCGACCCGTGTCCTTCTTCCGCACCTGGTAAACCTGGCCAAAGGTTCCCTTGCCGATCAGCCGAAGGATTTGGAAATCTTCCGGCCCGAAATGTTTGCGATCCGTCCGCTGGTAGGCGGCTTCAACGTATATTTCGCCCGTCGGGGCGTTTTCCGCCATGGTGTCGGCATGGCCAGTGAGAGGGTACCACCCTCGTACGGGAGCATCCATCGACGCATTAAAATTGACATGACCCAGGAATGTTTCGCCGCTGGGACTGTGGTCGTAGACCGAGACATCGACAAGCATATCGGAATCGACAACATCGCTGGCGGCACGTTAGTAAAAAAAAAAAAAAAAATCCGTTTCAGGCGGGACGGGACGGGCCAGTTCTTGGCTTACAAGGCGGCCTCGGCATCCCACGTCGGACTCGTGAAGGATCGCTTGGGTCGGTTGCGGAAGTTGTTGTAATCGGCAAGGCTCGTGTTGCTGCTCTGGCGGCTGCGCATGGGGATGGAAACCGGTGGCCGACCAGAGTCGCTTCCCTGGCGTTGAATCGGGATAGCTCCGAGAGAGGGTGGCGCCGTGGCCTCGTCATCGTCCTCCTGAACAGACCGTGAACCGGCGGAGATGAGCTCGCTCCTCTGGAAGACCGCGATAACGTAGGGGTCTCTAGCCTTTCGTAAACCTCTCGCCTCCACAATCTTGATGGTGAGCTTTCCTTTGGCAGCAGGAACCTGGGCTCCGCCCGAAGCCTGTGGCGTCTGCGTGGGGCTGGACGTCCCCGTCTCATTACTGCTTCGCTTCGATCCCAGCTTGTCTTCCGACTGCGACGGCTGGGCTGACGAGAGTGCCCTTGTGGGCGTCGGCGGACCGCTCTTGACAACCGCAACTTGTGTTAGCTTTCTGAGCGCATCAAGCGAAGAAGATGTTTCCACGCTGGAGACAACGGGCTTTGAACTAGCTGGGGTATGAGCTGAAGACGGAGGTGTGGCATGTTGGGAGGACACGCTGGGGTTGGAGAGGTGGGCTGCATGCACAGCTGATGCTGTGACGACGCTTGAAAGGCATGACACCATGGGGCTGTAGGTTTTCAGAAGGGCATCAGGTGTGCTCGCCTGGCGGGAAAGGGACCGCGACGGCGAATGCGCAGTAGCGTCCCCTCGATCCCCGCCGCTCCAGCGGGACAGACTTCTGGTCAGTCGCCCGACCGACGAACATCTGGACATCGGAGGAGTCGGGTAGCCATGAAAGAGAGTCAAGGAACTGGGCGCAGCCACAGGCGAGCTACCTCGAAAGTCGTCGTGATGGGGGGACAGTGGAGACAAGGGTTCAAGGGAAGTCATCTTGGGCTTGGAAACGGCCGAGGCCGAGGCACGCGCAACATCCTCCGACACACCCCTTTCTAATTCACCGCGTCGCTTCTGGCTCATGTCTCGAACCGTCATAGTGGACGAGGAACGACCTAGAACAGAATGTGTACGAACCTGGCCAAAGTAGCTCATAATACCTGGGAGGCGTCTGTCGTGAAGGTCGGGCTTGGGAGTTGCCACGCCCGAGCGGGGCGTTTCAAAGCCGATCTGATCCGCTCCATCGTCGTCAGCCGCTGCTGGCCTGCTGGATTGGTCAACGTTCATGTTCAGCTGAGTGTATATGCTATGCCCAACAGGTGTACTGGATGCACGGGATGCACTGTGAATTGGTTGGAGAGGATGGTAGAATGCAGGAGGGCTCAAGCGAAAGCGGAGGCGATGAAAAGAAGTGCAGGGTGCTATGTGTGTTATTAGATCATTGACGGGGCCTGTTCGCCAAGGGCGATGGGTCCCTATCAGTGATGACAGCGGGAATGGCCAAGTGCAATGAATGGTAGGCGCTAAGTAATATGTTGCGTTGCGTAGGTTGAAAAAACAAAAATAAAATAAAAATAAAAATAAAGTTCTAGGTCTATGACGAGAGCAGGGGGCGGAAGAATTTTGGACCGATGCGGGAACAGAGGAGGCGGGAGGAAAATAGGTAGATAAAATAATCAGGCGACAGATTAAAAAACCCGAGTAAGAACAATTAGTAGGGAGAAAAAGGCACAGAGGCAAGTCTGATGCAATAACCTGGTGTAAGCGGCCCACGAGCGACAAAAAGGGATAAAGAGTGATTTTTCATTTCCGGTGGACCTCTCCCCCCCGCCCCCTTTCGTCAAGCTCTCTCTGGGCGTGGAGAGAGAACTAAAAAGAGAGAACGAGGAAGAATGCACCAGCAGAGCAACCAGAGCTTGTCCTGTGGCGGGGCCACCAAGAGCGGATCTAGCAGAGGAGACAGGGGTGAAAGGGTCCAAAGGGGAAACGAGCAAAAAAGTCGTGCTTCGTGGCTATGGAGCGAATCAGGCCTCAACTCGTTCGGGCCGCGGTCACTTTCCGCTACTCCGAGTTTATTATGTTTTACCTAACCCAGACATAAGCCTGGGTCTAGGGATTGTTGCATAGACGAGGCCGAGTGCATGGGGGCGGAGCAGAACATGAAAGTAATAAAACGATAATAAACGAGAGAATACCGGGACGGGATGAAAGCATGATGAAGTGGTATTATTCATCGAGACCTGGATTCGTCTCAAAAACAGAAAACAGCCAAGCTTGGAGGCCGACAAGGGGGGCAGGAAGGGCAGGGGTGCCACGGGTACTGGAGAGAAGGTGTAGGGACGGGCTGGCTGCCCGGAGCTGTCCGGAACACCCCAAGGCGGGTGACAGCCGAGGAGTGAACATGAGCAGGGAATGTGAACCAGCGAAGAAGAGTTGTCTTCAGCTGTGCAAAGAGACCGGGGAAGGGAGGAAAGGGGACGGGCCGAACACGAAATGTGTATTCAAAACAAACGAGATGGTGAAAAAAAAGGAAACGGCAGATGCCTCATACCTCGAAGTTGAATTGGACACCATCATGGCTTGAGTCGCCCGTTTCAGCAAATCAAAGCCTCCCAGACCTGAGGACGGGTTGCCCATAGCGCCGTTGGTGCCATGGTCTTTTTGATTCGCCATGATGCTCCAGCCGTGACCGCCGTGACCGCCGTAACCGCCTTGACGTGCTTTTTAGAACTGATGCTGTTGCTATCGAGGAATGCACACTCTCGTCTCGTTCTGACGATGCTGGCAAACCGACGGCAATGTGGAGACAAGCGAGGACGTGGTGCTGACAGAGAACAGAGGCTGGGCAAAAGTCGTGAAACCTCGAAGCCCAAAGTGGACGGGAAGCGGGATGCGAAACGTGTAATTATATCGTGAAAATACGAACGGCGAATGAATGACCGTTGTTTGAGGGCGATTTTCGCTGGCAGGCAGGGTTGTACGTGTACGGGGAAATGTTTCCAAAAGGGGATGGATGTGGGATGCAGAAAGTTGGGGTGCACTCAGGCAGGTGGAATGTGTGAATGGTGTGAAATATTGGTCACCGTTGGTAAATAAAGAGGAGGTGTTCGAGTCAGGGTATGGTTCATTGAGACGGGTGGATGGGCCAGAAGGTCCGGAAGGATGAGGCGTCGGCCCAGAAAACCGCCCTCGAGCTGCTGTGCTCTAAGTGGTCAGAAGCGTTTCCACGTTCTTACTAAGTAAGGTAAGTTAACCGAGAAGAAAAGCCAATCCGGACGGATTACTCACCTTTCAATTTGCAGGTCTGATAGGCTGGCCAAGTACCTACCTTAGGTAGGTTATATGGCACCGGTGAAAACCGTGAAATGCCGTAATTTTACAAGGAAGACAGAACCTGGAAGACTCCTAGGGTGGAGAAAATCTTGGGGTTGTTAGTACACTATAGCATGGGATGCCGATGTCGGATAGGAGAGAGTCGGAATGGATAGGAAGAAAAAGGACATCCCCCAGCGTGCGTTAATAAAGGATTGCGAATCGAATTCCACCATTAAGAGGCTATGTTGAAGAAAGAGGTTCGGGCGAGTACTATAACGAAACGACTTTGGTCAATCAGGTCTGTGAACCCCCGTAGTAGGAGCGGGGGTCCTTTGGCGGGGGTCCGCTGGCGGGGTTGTTTCGGTCTACCGAGAAGCGCACTACATAAGGTACAGTACAATAGTTGGAGGCTACATAATGCCACTACGAACTAATGTCTAAGGCGAGGTAGTACTTGTCGTTGAGAGAGGAGTAGCAACTCTCTCACAAGCTCCCAGAAGAGGGGAAATCAGGAAGGCGAAAAAATCATGGAACCAACCACTAGCTAACCGGAGCTGGACGGTTGAGCAGAATGCTTCCCCACCTCCAGCCGGGAGAGCACTGTCCTATTTGGACTCGTATCTTTTCTTTTTCTATGTTAGATACCCAAGGTACCTTGGCTGAGCTGAACATGTGAGCATGATACTCCTTGGCTGCTACGGGATACCTAACTTATAAGGTAAGTAAGGTATGCATGCTGGTGTCTTACCGAGCTGGATGCCGGCTCAAGCACGTGTCGGTGTCTGACCCGGGACTTCTGATAACTTATTAGCTAAGGTATCTTAATTAAGGTACGTTACCTTAGTTCGCTGTATCGAGACTGATAAGGCCGCGATCACTCTCCAATTTGTCTGACTGTACATACCTAAGGTAGGTAGTTAACCAGTCCCTCAGACGAAACGAAGTTTTACTGGCTGGGGATACTTGTTGCGAGTCTTCCAAATGAGACGAGTCTCATAAAAATAACACTAAAAAAAGGCACGGAGTAAATGCACATTTGATTGTCCGGATATATTGGAATACACAAGTGGATGCTGGAGTTCACCATGAGGTGGTTCGGAGATGGCGAGACTAGCGTCTTGATGGCATTATCCATCTTCTTGACAGTGAGTGACCAGGTATCCCACAACACGTGAAGTTCAGGTTACTTCAAAGCGACATCATCATCATCATCATCGTCGTCATAATACACGTTGCAAATCAACCAACAGGATAACACCACGCCTACATACGTTGGGCCGACTTGACGTCGTTCCCATCTACCCTCACGATGTCCCAGCTTTCAGTCAACACCCGTCTCACGGATTCGACAGCCCTATTGCCATGCCCCCACCCTTTGAATTTCCCAGATGCTAACCTCGTCTCCCATTTCTATCCCAGCCCAGCCATCACAATCAGAGCCAGCTTAATATCCAGCCTTTTTGGAGCGTAACACTGCACCATCTAACCAAGACCGTGTTCCCCCCTCCAACGGCATCAATGCCAACGGCATGAACCCCGCGATCATCGCCCCCCGTTCCGCCTCGGAAACCCATCCCCCTAGGAGCCGTCCCGGCACAATCCACCCAACGAGGGCCGCCGTCGCTGCTGTCATGACTGCCGCCACGCAGCAGACCACGGCCCTGAATTTCCAGTCCCGAGGCATCTCATATCGTACAATGATGTATCGCGCGCATGCGGCGGCGAGGAGTATTCTCAGGGTCGAGATGAGGACCGTGGTCACAGTCCCGACCCCGGCTTCGGCTCCGGCCCCGGGAACTAACCATAGAGGAAGTGCCGCGCGGAGATAGGTTAACAGGGCGCTCGTTGTGAGTGTGAGGGCCGTGTAGATTGTGCCCATGCAGATGATAAAGTAGGCTAGGGCGACGTCCCAGAGTATCTCTAGGACTGATGGAGTTGTTTCGTAAAGTATGAGATTGGTCATGATCTTGTAGTTTTGTATCCAGAGAGTAGGGAGTGTATAATGCGAGTCGTGAATTTGTGACTGCGGTGATATAGATTGTGGATAGGTTTTTTGAGATTGCTGAAGTGATGATTAAAACCTCCAACGTGCACGATACGGTCTTATTAATACTGAAATTTCCATTATATTGTCCGTCATGGCCTTTTGTCAAGCGCACGATATGGTACGTTTTATCATGCGACAGGGTGGAGTGGCCTGACATTGACGGGCGACTTGCGGAGTGGAGCGACAGGTATGACCTATTATTCAAAGCTCTCGAGATGGTCAGCCCACCTCGAACGTCATGCCTAAGCAACTTCTGGGCATTTTCGAGTGTCTATGAAGCAGTACTCATGGCAATTACGAACAAATACAGCTGTTCAACATTCAATAACCTGGAAGGCTCGGAATTTATTCGAGACACGGGATGATTTCAGACACAAGCCACTATCGCTCTTAAAGTAAGTTTGGGTATCGTGTCTGCCGTGGACTGCCTCGGCCAAGCCGGGCACCACCTCTATACTCGAAATTTCTACATCTAAATCTCTGTCTTCTCCAACTTCTTGGCAAGCTCTTCCACCTCCTTGTCCTTGACTTGTACAACAGGCTCCTCCTGGGCCTCCTCGGCCTCCTTGATGAGAATCTCGGCTCTCTTCTCCGCGGGCAGCTCTACCTCCTCCTCTTCTTCTTCTTCCTCCTCCTCCTCCTCTTCCGAATCCATTCCTTCCAGGTCGCTGAGGCTATCGAGGCCCCAGCCGTCCTCGTCGACAAGGTCGCCTCCATTCTTCTCCTTGCGCTCTTCGAGCAACTCCTGCAAGGCAATGATGGAAGGGTCCTCTTCGTCCAGCTTGTTGCCGTTGATTTCAAGTTTCCTCAACGCAGGCAGGGAAGCGGCTGCATGCACGAAGCCCTCGAGAGACTTAGGTGTGATGTCGTTATACTGCAGTCGGATGGTCTCCAGGTGCTTTTGCTGGCCCTTGGAAAGGGCTTGGGAGAGTAGCATGCTTCCCTTGGCTCCGAGATACGAGTCGCTGAGGCCAAGTTCCTTCAGCTCCGTCCACGAAGGAACTACTCTGGCCAGCACGCGAGCACCCTGCATAGTAAAGGTGTTGTCTTGGAGGTCCAACACCTGAAGCCCACTGGCGTGGCCGAGACCCTCGCTGAGGAGGTGCGAAATACCCTCCTGACGGATGCCGTTCTGCACCATCTTGACCTCCTTGATCTTGTTGTGAAGACTGAAGGCCTTGGCCCACGCGTGCATGCTGCCGTTTTCTAGGCGGTTTCGCCCGCAGATGACCGTTTCGAGGTAGGGAACATCCTTCCCCTCCTTCCTCGCCGCCTCCTTCTTCGCATGTAGTTCGGAAAGCGCGTCGGCAACGAGAATACCGCAGTGAGGGCCGAGTCCGTTGTTGTTCAGGTAGAGGTGCTGCAGAGGCACATGGGCGGCAAGGAAGGCAACGAGGGGGGCCTGCGTGTTGATGCCAAAAGCGTTATCGTTGAGGTTGATGGTGTGGAGATTCGGAAGATTGAGGATAGACGTCAGAAGATGAGACAGCGCTTCGGGAATTTCGCTCAAAAGACGGCCGGTAAACATGTCGGAAAGGTCAGCAGCCTGGATGACGCAGATAGATGTCAGTATGTGCACCATCTACTCATGTCGCTTAGTGTGCCAATATAGGGAGAACAGCAACTCCTTACTCGAAGGTTCTTCTTAGTGGCCAAAACTTCACCAAGAAGTTTGCAAGCTTCTACACCGAAAGTGTTTCCCAGAAGCTGAACCTCCTCGACATCGTTGGATCGCAGCTCCGCGATATGGGGCTCCAAGTCGGCAGCCGTGTCGAACTTGAGACCCTTCCCCTTGAGGGAGAACAACTTGGTGACTGTCATCGTTTTGGCAATGCTATGTGAGATATAATCACACTTAGGGAGGAGATTCAGCTGCTAGGCTTGTAACTGCGACGCAGATAGAAGTGTCGAGTGGATAATAATTACTTTGAAAGGAGAAAATCCGCGGGGGAGGGGCAATGCCCAAGCCAAGGGGCAAAATGTACATACTCCGGACAAAAATTGGTTGGTCCTTTGGGTGACGCCGTAAGAAGTTAGGCGCCTGTTATATTAACACGGCGTACTTTTGGACTTTATCGTGTCGCAAGAAGTATGTACCTCTCCAATAGTTGTGCTTCTACCTTACCTTATGTACTATCGTTGTGTGTGGTGTTACTAGGAGGTACGTACCGATCACAGTACCTAGGTACCTTACCTTATAACCTTGAGATACTAAGAAGTCGCAAATATGGTATTTGCGCCTGCAAGGGAAAAGACACTTCCCAGCGAGCTCTGGGTCTCGGCGATCTACTGCACTGATTGGTTTTGTCTTCACAATGACTGCCCATTTTCTACCTTCAATATTTGTCTTTCTATAATGAACTGAGTTCTATCCCCGACCACATTCGTACCATATAGTCTTCTCACTTACCCCCATTCCATTACGCGTTTTGGATTGCGCGATTCCCGCCGTTTACATCCATGACAGTGGAAGTTTTTCTAAATCGTCAACCATAATCCTACTCTCTCTTTTTTCTAGCTAGGGGATTCTCGACACACGGCGAAACCTCCAAGCGACTTCTTCAGACATGGTGCTTGCGGCCCGCAAGACGTCCCCATATGAGTCGCCTCTTTCTTCAATGGACACAAGTGACTCCTCCGACAACGAATCGCGGGTGGCTATGGCAGCCTTTCGCCCAGCCAAGCGACAAAGGCTTGGGGACGGCTCGCCAGCATCATCTGCTGCTGTGCACGACCATTATCACGACCATGACGATGGCCCCGAGCGAGAGCTGGAGGTAGAGCCAGAGCCAGAGCCAGAACCCGAGGCCGAAGTCGAAGCCGAAGTCGAAGCTGAAGCCGACCCTGAACCAGATCCGCTCGATGGCATGTCGGACGTTTCAGAGGACACCGAAGGTGATATCCCGAGTTCGCCTATTAATGCGCGTCTCGACGAAGAGGATTTCCAGGAACAAGTCACCACTTGCGCTTGGGATGGGTGCGAAGCAGGCGACTTTGGTAACATGGATCGATTGGTAGAACATATCCACAATGTGCACATTGAGAGCAGACAGAAGAAATACACTTGCGAATGGCTAGGGTGCTCCAGAAAGAGCATGGCCCATGCAAGTGGCTATGCTTTGAAGGCTCATATGAGGAGCCATACTCGGGAGAAACCTTTTCATTGTTACCTTCCAGGTAAGAACTTCGTCCACGGCGACTAGTTCCTTATGCTAATACGTTGCAGAATGTGACAGGGCGTTTACTAGGTCAGATGCCTTGGCGAAGCACATGCGCACTGTTCACGAAACTGAGGCTCTCCGCCCTTCCGATCCAGTCCCCAAATCAATGCAGTCCGGCACTACAGGAAAAAGCAAGCTCAAGATCATTATAAAGACACCACAATCCCATGCGGCGGGCCAAGACGACTCTATCAACGGAGGAGGGGATGACGGCGAGCTCTCGGCAGACCTTTTCACACCACTCACGCAGGAACAAGGCTTCACGCCGGAGGAGCTGGACATGCCCCTCGAGAAACTTTACAAACTGTGTCGATTTCAAGTCCGTTGGGCTGAGGAAGAGGGCAAAAAGCTGCAAGATGAAGTAAAACGCCTGGAGGCCATATATGAGCGCGAATGGCGGGAGAAGGAGGTCCTGCTTTTTCAAGTCATCCAGAGCGAGGCTGATTGGAACGAGCGATGGCAGGCCGTTCGCTCAGGGGCAGCAGATGTCAGGCTGTCCAGTGTTCTCGACACCCAGGAAACCGCCGGTGCCTCCTCCACTCCTGGGGCCGAATCGAGCCAGAAGCCAGAGGCAACCACCACCGTCGCCAATGGCGCGAGTCCTGCACCCTCAAGCTGAACACCGGCGCGATATACCACACGCACCACGCATATATTCCATCATTGTTCTCATGGAGGCTTCCCCCGGCCCCTTCGGACAATAGAAGTCGCCGTCTGCCAAGTGGAAAGCAACACCGGGAAGTGCAAGACGCCCTTTATTGAGACAAGACGGATTCTCTTGTCTTATGGGGCATTCATCCTCGCCGCCGAGAGTTCGAGTTGCCCTTGGACTCCGGATAGCTAATTGCGAAAACAGGGCCTTTGCTAAACGGGGAAGGACGAAGCAAGAGGCTGACCACCGGGCCGTGTAATATGTATGAATTGGTAAAATAGGATTACTCAGACGGGGCTGGAGTTAGGCGTCCACATTTGATACATTCGGTACATAGCCATACTTCCTTTACTTCCCTTTCGACATGTTCACACTGTTCACCTTCAAGGAATGACTCCACCCTCCTCAGCTCCTCGGCTTCTCCCACTCCTTCCTTTCCTCTTCCTCGTAGCTGTTCTCATGCCGGACTAGTTTGCCGAGCCTCTCTTGTGAGGCCATGTAACGGGACCGGCCTGTTCCTAACGGCCAGGATGGAGACCCAACAGAGCCCATATTTCAGATGCCCTTCTTCTTCGTGCGATACGACTCGCTATTCTTAAAAGGGAACCCGCTCGTATTCTTGTCGAACCCCGTCCGCTTGTTGACCCGACTTTTATCACCTGCGAACATAATACACCAGAGCCCGAAGCTGGCCATGACTGCACTGCCGAGGCAGCCCGCGGTGTAGGCGGTCTGGCCAGTCCAGTGGAAGCGGCCGTAGCAGTAGAAGGCCGCCGAGGCGTGATAGAGGGTCGACACCAGGATCGTTGCGTCCGCGTAGGCCGAGTGAGTAGACCTATCCTCTGTAGTCGCCCCGTTCCCTGTGAGCGGCAGGCTGCCCGAGAGTATGACCACTACCAGACCTAATGCGAGAATGGCAAAGCCTAGGGAACGAGCGAAATAGTTCTCGAGTGCTAGATACGGCCATATGAGCTTGTGCGACTATTGAGCGAGGTACACTGTCTTCTACCCCAGATGAGGGACCGAGACGACGGGGGAGAGGAGGATTCACGAACAGCTAGCAGAAGAGTACTCATCTCGTAAGAGAGAGCTTATAAAACCCGGCCACAAGATCAGTGGCAATGCCTGAAGGCTAAGCCAGCTCAGGTTTCCGAAGCAGTATGTCGATATGGCCTGCTCGAAATTAGCTATTGATTCCAACTCGGACACTCGTGAACAACAGTCTGGAGGGGAACCCAGGGATTCTGCTCACATCCATTGGAGGTCTCTTAGCTGCAGAGATGGTAAAGTACCAGAGAAAGGCAAAAAGGTCAGAGCTGCGGATGTACGGAGTACACTACCTAGATCGGCAGGTCGCTGAACTGTTCGTACGAAGTAGCTTCACTGCTCATCATTCCGAGTGCATGTGGTAAGTATCACGTCCTCAATCGACGTCATTGGATCTACGAAGTACATGAACAACCGTTTTTCTTGCCATGTCACTTTGCACCCCCTTGCATCCCCGCCCTGTGTGGCCAGTTGACTCCGCTAACGGCATGAGGCAGCATGTACTGGAAGTACTCTGTTCGAGAGGGTCGAGAACAACCTGAAAGCCTATGAGCTTATTACTCATGTCGATGCTAATAATTACCGTGTAACAGGTCGTTGTCTTGGCCAAATACAGGCTTATCAGGATCACTTCGCAGAGGAGTAATTTCGTTGACATGAGATATGCTTGGTAAGGTAATACGGAGTACACCCAGTACCATAATGGGATGGACCCCCGCTCTCAAAGTCGCCACTTGCCGATATCGCACGTGGCGAGGCAGTTGCTACCTACCAGTCGTACTAGGTCGATTTCCAATCACCATCAATCAATATAGGGTGGTTTCTATTTTCCCCGTGTCCATGTTGGCAACGAAGTAAGAAAAGAAAATAATTCCCTTTCTTCTATGATAAAACCGCTCCTCATAGTGTGCCTGGCTTCGGACGCGACGACGGATTGATTGTTTAACCTGGCAACCTATTCTACCCGCCGCCACTCTCAACACCAGCACCATGAGTGCCATCCTCTCCGCAGACGACTTGAACGACTTCATCAGTCCCGGCGTCGCCTGCATCAAACCCGTGGAAACCCTTCCGAGCACCCCGCCTCCCGACACCTCCCTCGAGACTGAAGTAATCCTCGACGGTCAACCGGGCGCCGCCTCGTCTGCCACCAACGGAAACGCCCCAGCTCAGATCTCCCTGACGGACTGCCTGGCTTGTTCTGGCTGCGTCACCTCGGCCGAGGCAGTCCTCGTCGGCCTGCAAAGCCACAGCGAGGTCCTTAATACACTTGATTTTGGCCCATCACTTCGCATTGTCGGGCCAGACGACAAGGGACAGTTCAGGGTCGACGGACTCGAAGACGAGTCGCGAAAGCTTTTCGTGGCTAGCGTTTCGCCACAGGTCAGGGCAAATCTTGCTGCCGCGGCGGGCCGAGGTACAACCGAGAAAGAGGCGGGTTACATGTTGCAGAGGCTGTTGAGCGGCCCCGAAGGCCTTGCAGCAGGCGGCAAGTGGAATAATGGCTTCACGTGGGTCCTTGATACCAATGTCTCTCGGGAAGCGTGTCTCGTCCTGGGCGCCGACGAAGTTCTGGGAACCGATGAGGCTCCCCCATCCTCCGATCCGAAACCGACCCTTACGTCCAGCTGTCCCGGATGGGTGTGCTATGCCGAGAAGACCCATCCTCACGTTCTCCCCCATATCTCCAAAGTCAAGTCCCCACAGGCCCTCATAGGAACGCTCCTGAAGACCACTTTGAGTCGGAACCTCGGGATTCCACCCAGTCGGATCTGGCACTTGGCCATAATGCCATGTTTCGACAAAAAATTGGAGGCGAGCCGTGAGGAACTGATGGATACTGCCTGGACGGGGGATAAGTCAACCGGCCGAGGTATTCGAGACGTGGATTGCGTCATTACCAGCAAGGAAATATTGATGCTGGCTGAATCGAGAGGCTTGAATTTCTTTGACCTGGCCCGAACGAAACCTATGGTTTCTCGCACGCCGTACCCAGACGTTCAGCTGGATCGGTTCCTATTCCCTCCGCGGCCCGCTCACAGGTCATCCCAAGACGCGGGTACGTCAGGCGGCAACTTGTATTTCATTCTTCAGAGCGTGGTAGCGAGGAACCCAGGCTCCAAGATCAACATCGCACGGGGGAGAAATGCGGATGTCACCGAATATACCGTCATATCTTCTGCCGGCGAACCGATATTTAAGGCAGCTCGGTTCTACGGCTTTCGAAATATTCAAAATCTCGTGCGCAGGCTGAAGCCGCCCCGCCCGTCTCGCATGCCCGGCGGGAAGCCCTTCGGAAGTGCAAGGAGACCCGCTGGAAAACCGTCTGGATTGGAGTATGCGTACGTGGAGGTCATGGCCTGTCCTGGAGGCTGCACCAACGGTGGTGGGCAGATCAAGGTCGATGATCCTATCAACATCGAACGAAACGGATTGGCAGAAAAGCCCGGCCCGCTAGAGCAGAAACAGTGGCTAGCAGAAGTAGATGAGGCGTATTTCTCGGAGGAGGACTCTGAGGGCGACGCCATTACCTCGGCATGCGAGGCGTCGCGGCCAGATGTGGTGGACGGAATTTCGCCGTCATACATTCGGGGGACCTTGACGCAGTGGTCGCGCATTACGGGCATAGACCTGAAGAGGCTCACGCTCACAAGTTATCGCGAAGTCATCAGCGATGTCGGGAAAGACAAGACGACCGACACGGAGAGGGTCGTCCAACTGGCTGGCAAGATCGGAGGTGGTTGGTAGACTTGAGCATTCATTAGACGTAAAAATAACCCTTCGTCAAAAGAGACGATGTCATCAATCTCTGCTGGCTCCTCGTCTAGCGAAGCCAAACCCGACTCGCCCACTCCCATCCGGGCCGTGTGGTGCTCGAATGACTGTCCCTGCTTGGTCCTGCTCCATAAGCGATGCACGGCCGGACGGTGTCGTGCTGCTGCTGCCGCCACTGTTCCCAACACCACCTCGTTTTTGGAGCTGAAATCCAGGTTTTGGCGAATGATTAGGGTCGTACAGTTCCTTTGTCTCGGAGCGGCCGTCCGGCCTTCTGGTCTGCTCATCCTGGAACTGTTGGTTGTGGTATTGGCCCTGTCGGCCGGGTCCCCCGCCGTTGCCGCCCCCCCTTCCACGTCCACGGCCTCTTGCGCCCCGTTGGTTATACCCGCCTCCGCGAGATTCCGGCCTCGGCGGGGTTACGGCACCCGGGCTAGACGCGCCGGACGACGGGTTCGGCTCCCCGAAGATCTTAGCCCGTACTTCGTCATATCGTCGCTGCTTTTCCTCGCGCTCTCGCTGCTGTTTGGCACGGATCTCCTCTGGGCTTAGCGTCCGCTCCTTCTTGCGTTCGTTTTCTTCGTCGTCCTCGCTTCCGTCGCCATCGTAGAGTTGAGATGGGGCCCCGGATACGGGGTCACGGCGGCGCGCAATGGTCTGTGTTGATGCGGGCGGGGGTCGGCGACTGAGGACCTTCACTTGTGGCTTGAAGGTAGACGCTAGGGGGACGCTGTTGGTCGCTTCGACGAAGTGGAAGGCTTCTGGAGATTCCCTGAGAGAAACGACAGATGTTAGTCGCGAGTCTGTCGCACTAGACTGCGATCAAAGGGGAAGAAGATGGTGCCATACGCAGATTCCCAGATCTTGCGATTCGTCTCCGCATGCAAAGCCCGTCTCTCCGACGCAGTCATGCGTCTCGGCGGCTCTGGTTCCGGTTCGGGCTGCTCAGCCAGTTTATCGGCTTGCACCTCCCAGTCATCATCTTCCCAGGCGTCAGGGATGACGCCTTTCTTGCCCATGTTGGATCAGAGGTGCTTCATGTGAGCACAGGATCGATGATCTCAGGGAAAAAATCTGGTGCATGTGGTGATAATTGCGATTTTGTGTCAAACATGAAAATCATCCTCATATCAAGATTGGTGTACCACTTCTAGAGGCCGCTTTCGGTGGATGGATGTACGGAGGACGCTCTCCAAATCCGCGATCACGTGTACAATATTACGTATAATTCTGTAATTACCCCACAACGACGTACCTGGATTGTTACCTTACAGTGAAAGGTCCAGATATCGAGCCACGAAGATACTGTACGATAGATATTTACTCCGTGGTGATGCCTCTCGCTTCCTTTCGCATGCTACAAACTATTTCCTAGCAAGGGATACGCTATTTTCTAGCTTATTATGGTCGTAGGAACATGTCTGATTCAGCGCCTTATTACCAGACACAGAAGCGCCTACTTCTAATGGCGACGACTTGCAAGACGTTCGCACGGGTTCAGAATGTTCCCCGTCAGTAGTAGGTCGCCCTCTCTCCCATATCACACGTCTCTTTTCGCACGGCACTCTTCGGGACGAGCTACCTACGCATGGGTCTTCTTGGTCTCCTTGTGTATGACCATCCAGAATCAGAGCGCTGGATTACGAAAGCATTTGAAGAATATGGGTTTGAAGCATTGGTGTCCTGCCAAGGATGTTGCTTTTAGGACGCGCAATTGGCCCGTTTGCGCTGGGTGGCATCGAGGGAGAGTCCTAAGTTGGTCCATGGTATATTTTCCCTTTCCCTTTTTACCTGACACTGAGCGCCCTACCAAAAGGAAACCGATAACAGCTTGTACAAATGCCAATCTTCAACTCGTGAATTCGGAACGAGAGGAAGCCCGGTGCTATGGCTGCAGATAGCCCCCGGTCACCTGAGTGACCTGACCGGTTTATCCACCCAGTCCTGAATTGCTGATCGTTACCGATTGGCTTCCAAGCCTAGCTATTTCGTTGAATTATTTCCCGTCTTTGCTTAACAGCATTTGCGAGGCCGTCGAGGACCGACACGGTGTCCTCCCAGCAGATGCATGCGTCCGTGATGGAGACACCGTATTTCAGACCGCCCTTGCCCTCCTTCGGCACCTTCTGGTTGCCTGGAAAGAAATGGTAAGTCAGTACAGTTCGCATTTAACTCGTCACAACTAAGGGTCGCCTTACCCTCGTTAATGTTGCTTTCAATCATGACGCCCATGATTCCAGTCTCGCCCTTTGAGATTTGAGCTGCGAGATCCGCCGCCACCTTGGGCTGGTTCTTGTGGTCCTTGAGCGAGTTACCGTGGCTGCAGTCGACCATCAGCCTCTGGGGAAGGCCGGCCTTTTCGAGTGATTCTTTCGCTTCGACTATGCTCTTTGCATCGTAGTTCGTCCCGCGAGTACCGCCCCTGAGAATGACGAAGCAGTCTTCGTTGCCCACGGTGCCGACGATGGAAACGACACCTGGCTTAGTGACGGAAAGGAAGTGGTGCGGGTGCCGCACGGCGCCAATAGCATCTATTGCCACCCTTAGAGAGCCGTCCGTGCCGTTTTTGAATCCGACAGGGAAGCTCAGGCCGCTGGCTAGCTCCCGGTGCAGCTGGCTCTCTGTTGTCCTTGCGCCCACGGCACCTACGGAGAGCAGATCGGCGAGGAATTGCGGCGAGATAGTATCGAGCATCTCGCTTGCGATTGGCATGCCCTTGTCGGTTAGGTCGACGAAGAGCTGTCTCGATATGCGCAGCCCCTTGTTGATGTTGAAGCTGTTGTCGATATCTGGATCGTTGATGAGGCCCTTCCAGCCCACGGTGGTGCGCGGCTTCTCCAGGTAGGAGCGCATCACAATGAGTAGCTCATCTTTGTGTTTCTCTTTCTCCTTGAGAAGCAAGTCGCAGTATTCGAGAGCGGCAGCGGGGTCATGGATAGAACAGGGACCAATAATGACAAGTAGACGCTGCTTCTCATCGGTTCCATTGATCACAGCGACCGCTTCGTCACGACCTGAAAGGACCGTCTCCTTCGATTTAGGGGTCTGCGCAATCTCGTGTTGAAGGAGGTTCGGAGGTGTCAGGGGGTTGTAGCCACGGACTATCGAACGGTGAGCTGATGGCATGCAACAAGAGCAATTCTTATTGGGGAGTTTTACTTCTCCAGTCCTCACTGTCGGCCTTGTTCCCGACATTCTTGTTCTCGATGTAGAAGCTCTGTGGGGGAGTCAACCAGGGTCTAAGACCTATTCCTCGGATGAATGATTCAAGCTATCGCTGTCGGCAGTACTCACGGACATGGCGGCGATGAGAGAGTGGGACGTAGCTCGATATATGGCAAACAAACGGAGAGGGAGATAGGGGGGAAATGGGGGAGAAAATGAATGAATTCCTTAGGCTGGAAGTCTCCTGCAAGTCTGACAGTCTCGGGCAGTTAACTGGGGCAACCAGCCGTTGAACAATACGTTAGGGCCACCGGAAACAATCCACAACGACTTATGAGGTGGATTTGGAGAGATGGAGTGTAGTTCTAATAAAATCGCGCCCTGTCTCGAGGAGTGAGCTATTTAGATTACCGTGGCGGTTCTTCACGGAGCCCTCCCCTTTTTTCCCTTCTTTTCTTCTGCGGGAAAGAAAGACAAGAATAAGAAAAAAGAAAAAAAAAAAGAATAAGAAGAGTCTTTGCCGCCAGAAGAATCCGTTTCGATATGACCTGATGGGACAATAATTAGACTATGACTCCGATTGACGGAGAAGCCCCGCCAAAGAAAAAGTTGAGCTCACCGTGACCTTTGCCCCTCCCCCACTCTCGAGCTGACCACGCTCGATATCGGACGCCCGTGGTTGGCTACTGACCGACTAGGTACTGCGGGATCCCATCCCGATTACGGGCGGGGACTGCCGATTGCACACCGCTTAAATCCAAGCCGGAGGGCAACTTCTACAGTAGCTATGGATAATGCGATCTCCTTGCAATATCTATCCTCGTGTTCTGCGTAACACGATGATCGAGTTATTGGTTTATCAAACACTTTTTCTGTCTAACCTACCTACGTTTGCAATACGAGTTCGTGAGCATCATATCGAGTTTAGGGGAACGGAACCTTGATTTCTACGGAGAATTAGCTTCATAAGATACCTAACTACCTTACCTAAGGTAGCTGGCGCCTCCCTAAGGTACCTATTCGCATACAAACTGTAAACTGCGTAAACCGCAATACCTATCCAATAAGGAGGACGGCGTATCATAGCAGGAGTAACAATTAAGCACTAACAACAGTAACGAAAGCCACGTTCGCATATCACGTGATTGGACAGCTCTGCCATAGCCAGCAAGAAACAGCTGCATAAAATAGCATCAAGAAGAAAGCGGCAGGGGTAGCGGGGGGCTGGAGGAAGCCAAAGGGAGACTTACTCTGTATTAACAAAGCCGAGACCAGATCACAAAGGCCGCTCGGTTGTTGGGAAAGCCTGGGCAAATCAACTGATTCAAGCCGTAAACATGACACCTTCAGTACCTTATCCATACGCAAGACCGTATAGAACGGATCTTAGGACGGGACGACGTGAGTGTACTTCGCACTTACCTATAGTCTCAGAAGTGGTGAGTGACGTATGTCGGGGGATGGAAGTGTCTAGAAACATGTACTTCACATGTTTCTCTGACGCCGTCTCAAAAGAGTACCTTAAGACATCTAGTACCTGAGCGGGACATAATCCAACCTAAACAAACACGTGACGAGACTCAACTTTCACAATTGAGGTATTCAGGTATTATCTACTAACCTAACATTCAGGGCTGAAGGATGGCACCCTTGATTCAAGTGGAGGCTCCCTCCCACGCCAGGGAGCCCATGCACCTGACTACCACTGCCACTGCCACTGCCACACGCCTGGGCAGCCTGACGCTGGCGCCACCCCAGAGCCCCGTCCCCCAATTTCCATCTTGCTTTTCGTCTCATCGACCTCCTTCCCACTTGGCTTTCCTACTTTCACCAAACCAACTTCACAACACTGCTTCATCAAAACTCCTCTTTTTGTAATCTCGACGCGTCCTCCTTCTCCCTACAACGAGTTTTTCTTTCCAAATCTCTACATAAGAAACGTCCTTTACAACAGTCAGCCCCTTCCCAAAGGTATGTCACCGTCTCATTTCCGACCCCCCTCTGTCGTCATCGCAGCCTCCCTATTCGGACCACCCTACAACCTCATCCCCAACAGTGGCCCTGCCCTGCCATCTTTTGGGGCTTTGGCTCCCCTAACTACGCGTTATCTGTTACTGCCTCGCCTCTGTCGGTCCCATTCTAGCAGGAGTTGTGGCACGCGCCGAAACCCCACCCTGAAGCGGGGGGCGGCCTCTGGCGGGATCGACAAGAGAACGAGAGTTGTATCCACGTCCTTCAGCTCTTGCGATCCAAGCATTTCGTTACAGGCCTTTTCTTGTCACACAGTCTTCAATCTCGCGTATTGCTTTTGGTTTTATTTCGATCTGGTGCAAATCCATAAAGCGGTCTTGGATAGGCATTGTGTCGATTGAAGTGTTTCGTTCCGGTATACTGACGTGGATTATCAAACAGATATCCAGACATCATCACCATGGCTCATGAGGACGCCGTTTACCTGGCCAAGCTTGCCGAGCAAGCTGAGCGCTATGAGGGTATGTCACAAGCGTGGAACATCACGAGATGGAATTCACAGGCTGACGGCCGTGTCAGAGATGGTCGAGAACATGAAGGTCGTCGCATCCGAGGATCGCGACCTGACTGTTGAGGAGCGCAACTTGCTCTCCGTTGCCTACAAAAACGTCATCGGTGCCCGTCGTGCATCCTGGAGAATCGTCACCTCCATTGAGCAGAAGGAAGAGTCCAAGGGCAACACGACCCAGGTCTCCCTGATCAAGGAGTACCGCCAGAAGATTGAAGAGGAGCTCGCCAAGATCTGCGAGGACATCCTCGAGGTTTTGAACAAGCACTTGATTCCCTCCGCCACCTCTGGCGAGTCCAAGGTCTTCTATCACAAGATGTAAGTTGGACATGCACCCCGTGGGTAGATTCCGAGCTTTCTATCGCGTACTAAATGCCTGTTGCATCACAGGAAGGGAGACTACCATCGCTACCTTGCCGAATTTGCCGTCGGTGACCGCCGCAAGGACTCGGCCGACAAGTCTCTTGAGGCGTACAAGGCTGCCACTGAGGTTGCTCAGACTGAGCTTCCCCCGACTCATCCCATCCGCCTGGGTCTGGCACTGAACTTCTCCGTCTTCTACTACGAGATTCTCAACTCGCCCGATCAAGCTTGCCACCTCGCCAAGCAGGCTTTCGACGATGCCATTGCCGGTGGGTTGCATCTTTTCGCGACGTCATTCCTAGCTACTTAGCCTAACATCATTCGTCACAGAACTTGATACTCTGAGCGAGGAATCTTACAAGGACTCGACTCTGATCATGCAGCTTCTGCGTGACAACCTGGTAAGTCGTCTCGGCACATCTCGTTTATCAGTTCCCACCTCCTGTAAAACCAAACCATATCGGCTGCTAACCCGCCACCCAGACCCTGTGGACGTCGTCCGAGGCCGAGCCCGCGCAGGCTGGCCCTAGCGACGCTCCTCCCGCGAACAAGGAGGAGGAGGGTGCCACCGCTGACGCGCCGGCCGCGGCGTCTGAGGAGGCGCCCAAGCCCGAGTAAAACAAAAAAGTCTCGTCGTGTTGCTTTCTGGAACCTGCGGTCATGGACATGGGTGGACAGGTGTCTACGGAGTGCGGACTGGAGACGTGGTTTTTCTGCGGGTCGGCATTATTAGGGCAAACGCACATGCGCAACCAAGATTTTCTTCTTTTGGGGAGAGGAGCCCGATTCCGTCGGATTCTTCTCGGGAAAACAGATGATGAGGCCTAATAGAGCATTTTAGGGGGTGGGAAGCTACCACTGCTGCTTGTTAGACTCTAATCGACACCGCCTTTGACACCGATAAAAGAAGTGTGTCAATAATAATCATTATAGGGTGGCGTTATTCGGACTGCAGTACTTTGTGGTTTTTCGACTATGGGCAATCTACTTTATCGTCCTCGCAGGGTCTTATCAATGTCTTGATTGGAAAATATCTCGTCCCTCTCACAGAAAAGCTGGGTAGTCTGACGAAAGCACCAGTTGAGGCCTCTATCATTAACTGCCCCCAGGATTGATAACTCCGTCGAAAATAAGAGGAGATTTAATGGCAACTGCAGGGACCCGATTTCTCTGACGTCTTATTCCCCATTCGGGGCGTCTGTAGCCCTCTATTTCTATATTGAGGCCTTTCGAGTAAACCTCCCTTATTCCCAAGAACTTTGGCGGGTTAGCCCTCCGCCTGATGATAATCACGAATTCAGATTTCGGTACTAATTCATAATGATGCCCTGGAAACCAACGTACGAACTTACCAGGGTGAAGTCTCGTTTCTTCTACATGTCTATTTGTCGTCCTTGGTTGTGTTAACTCTAGCCGAGTTAACAGCTATAGATAGACCGCTAGAACTGAGAGGTTTGATCTTGTTCCCCCCCCCATCCTCCCTTCTCAGGTCCTAGGCGGCCCTCGAGATCCCGTTCATATTGCCAACCGAAGGGAACAGAGCCCTTAGCAGCAGCTTTTCCAGTGGTGATCATAGTAGGGTGTTCGCAAAGGCCAGGACATCCCCATTGACATGCGTAGGAGGGGCTGGCTCGCGCAACTCACCCAATACCCGGCTCCATTCTCATATGATTGTGAGTTACTAGTCGGTTTTCGCATAGCAGTCGAACTCTTTGCAACTTTTCCCCTAGGCTCGTCTTGGTAAAAGCCGGACGGTTGTCCGCCCAATGTCCTTTCAGCCTTGACGGGAAGCGGATTAAGCCTGAGTCGCACTTTTTGTATAACTGACACGGCGTTGCCGAGGACGTTCTACCGCCACGACCGTCTCCAGTTGCCCTGGCTAGCGTTGGTGCCTTCCCTGAGTTGCAGTTTCTCCATCTACATTGCCACCAAATTCTTACTCCGTAGATGGCCCGCTGGTGAAAGTCAACAAGAGGCTGATGGGCCAGCGGGCATACACGGGGGAGAGTATTATGGAGAGGGCGGAAAAGCAACTCATTCCGTATGCTGGAGGATAGAGGCTCCACAGATGTTTGGGGTTATTGTCCATGGTATTACTTGGCGGCCAAGGGTGGTGTGTGTGTATGTCTAGTAGACCTGATCTCTACCGATGGACGGTCGACTACGTAGGTATTAATTAGGGAAACGCGAAGTTGCAATGGCAGCGTTGGGATATCCTTGCGTTGATCGAGAAAATATTCTTAAGGGGACGAGTCCTGATGAAGACGAGATACCTGTATGACGGATAGGGAAGAGAGGCAATGCCAAGAACGCTGTACCAACGCTGTATGAAGCAACTGCGAAACAAGGACAAGCGGTGGGACTCGGACGAAAGCATTGTGGCTTGTGACGTTAGCCGCGAATTTGGAGGTCATGACCTTATTATGGCAACGGCACAATTAACCGGTGGGTGGTGGCCTGATGCCTGGTGCCAAACGGGGAACTCCGTGTTGAGAATAAGAAGATACCTACTTCAAGCAGGTAAGCACCCCTAATTTAAAGTAGCTACCTACTGCTAGGCTCTTGGACCCATCAGCGCACCCAGAATCCAATAAGAAGCATTTATACTAGCACTGTTTGTTTCGTCACATATTGCTTACTCGTCCGGTTTTACTCACCAAGTTAAACCTGCCATACATATACAACCTCCTCTCTACCCCAACTCTAAACCGTAACCACGCCCAACATCCGAGACGCTTCCCCCCTCTCACAACAATGATTCGAACCTCCGTTATCAAGGCTGCTCGCCAGCCCGTAAACTTCACTTCCCGAGCGACGTTCACCACTACTACCCGCGTCATGGCTGCAGGCGATACTGGTGCTCCTCCCAAGACCGGCGGCGTCGGGTGAGTTAAATGACGGCATCATGAAGCTTCTTGTTTGCCATTGTTCCTTTTTGCTACCTCTTTTCCTTCCCCCCACTTTCTGTGGTTTCGGCGTCTCTGGAGAAGTTTCCTCCCTCACATGCCTCATCAGTTGGCATCGTTTGAAAGGGGATTCGGCTAACTTCATCCTTTGTCCTATCCCCGTTCACAGAGACGCGTTCCAGAGGCGCGAAAGGGCCAACGAGGAATACGCTATCCGCCAGCGCGAGAAGGAGAAGCTCCAAGAGATGAAGAAGAAGATCGCAGAGCAGCAGGCTCACCTGCAGCAACTCTCCGACCACATGTGCGTTCCCACCGATCGGCACTCTCCTATATCCCGATCGACGCTCCTACCCCAAACGACTGGAGGATTCATGCTAATCAATCGTTTCACATGATTACAGTGACGAGATAACGAGGGATCAGGGTGGTGAGAAGAACTGAGGTCTCACTCAATACGTCTGGACCCATATAGAAGAACCCAATCAAGTCATTGTCCACGAAGAGAACAGGCTACTGTAACACAAGGGGGAAGGAAGGATCGGACGCCGAAACCAGCCCGAACTGTTCTGATCACATGAGTTTTCTCCATGGGAATGCGGCTGCGACAATTGCGTATTGCCGCAACTAGCGAAGTAATGTACAGTAGATATGATCATCAAGGGCACCTCGAGTGCAGCCCATTCCTCTCAATGGACAGACAGTGTTTCACTTTGACAAAACCTCCATGTAGCCTTCCCGTTGCGCATCTCTGTTTCATCCGGGCTTTGTTAACACAGAAGCACACTTCTATCGCCTGCCCATGTAGGAGCGATAGAAGCCCTCGGCAGCATCGCTCTCGGCTCCATATTGAGCGCCGAGGTTGTTGCTCGACTTTTGGGCCGCCGATACCTTGGCTTGAAGTGCAGCTGCGTTCTGGTCGATCCACTGGAGTTGCGAGAGATGACCGTTCAGAACCCGGACGATTTGGCTCAGCTGTTATGAGTGTTAGTTCAGCGTCGTACATATCATATTGTAGTAGTAGACTTGGACGTACCGGATCCTCTGGCATGGTGCCCTTGCTCAAGGTGCCAGAGATCTCATTGATCTCCTTGACCATCTTGGACAGATCCCGACTCTTCTCATCAAGGTGCTGGGTCAGTTTCTCAGCCAGCTTGTAGGTGCGTTCCCGCTCCTGATCAGGGCCTGCAAGGGCCTCGCCCTGGCCCATCTGGCGAGAGAACATTTCCTTGACCTCATTCTCATACCGGTTGAGCCATTCCTCAAGCTCATCCTGTTGACTTTCCACGGCCTGGAGCTGACGCTCGATCTCATGGCTCGCCTTCTCCGCCTCGAAAGTATTAAGGTAAAGCTTTTGAACCTTCTCGCCGTTGTTGACGAGTGTGAGATCCCAGCTGGATGCCTCTTCGGCGTATCGTTTGAATTCCTTTTGGTACTTGGAAAGGTTGGAAGCCCACTTAGTTAGCACATCGTCTATCGACTTGTTCCTCAGGCGAGGCAACTGAGAGGGAGGTCCGGTCGTCGAGGCGCCCAAGGCATTGCCTGAAGCCGTTGTGGCGTTCTGAGCGATGCTCGCGCCTAGAGCGGTGGTTGAAGGCTTGGCTCCACCCCCGGACGCAGCCGTCGTTGCAGGAGTTGAAGCGGTTGTCGTCGATGTCGCGGGGGCGGACGTGGTGGTGGTCGCAGGTTGTGACGAGGCCGTGGTTGCCGCAGCACCGAAGAGACCACCGCTGGCAGGTTTGGCTTGCGTTGTCGAGGAGCTCTGATTTCCGAACAGAGATGACGTGGCGGGTGCAGCAGTAGCGGGGGCGCTTGCAGGCGTGGTAGTTGGTTTGTTGCCAAAGAGACCCCCAGACGTCGCCGCCGTCGTAGTTGCAGGGGCAGCGGACGAGGCAGCGTTGCCGAAAAGACCACCTGCAGTGCTAGTAGCAGGAGCCGAGGCAGCGGGCGTGGATGTAGCAGGTCTGGCGCCGAACAAACCGCCAGATGACGCAGCAGCTGGCTGGGTAGACGGAGTCGACTGTTGATTGCCGAAGAGGCCGCCAGATGATGTAGTAGTAGCAGCAGGCTTCTGGCCGAACAAACCGCCACCTGTCGACTGTGCGCCGGCCGTGGAAGTATTGCCGAAAAGCGAAGCGCCCGAGGTTGTAGGCTGGCTGGATGGGACAGCTTGAGTGGTCGTTGCGGAAGGGGCAGATCCAAAGAGACCCCCCGCGGCGGGCTTGGACGCATCCGTCGGAGGCGCTCCGGCTGGGGTAGTAGACGGCTGAGCAAACAGGCTCTTTGCGGGAGTTGCTTGCGTGGTGGGAGTTGTGCTAGCTTGTTGCTGTGTGTTGGCGGCGGGCGATGTTGGATTTCCGAACCGCCCGCCAGCCGAAGGCGCCGTCAAGCCAGTAGACTGCGCCTGGCTCGTGGCCTGAGAACCAAACAACCCACCAGAGGATGTTGAAGTATTAGTATTCCCAGCTCCTCCGAAAAGGCTCGGGTTCGAACCAGAAGTGGCATTCCCGGTACCACCGAAAAGCGAGGATCCCCCAGTCGCGGTTGAACCAGCACCTGACGTATTACTGAAGAGGCCTCCGGATGCTTGTGCAGATGTGCTCGGAGTAGACGCAGCGGCGTTTCCAAATAGACTACCAGATGTAGTTGGAGTGCTCGAAGATCCAGTGGCGCCAGAGGCTGCAGGGGTAGTACCGGCATTGCCGAATAGACCTCCAGGCTTCTGAGCAGAGCTGTTCCCAAAAAGAGATCCCCCCGAGGCCGAATTGCTTGTGCCGGAGCCACCAGCGGTATTGTTGTTCGAGGGCCCGCCCAGGTTGCCAAAGGAGAATGAAGGGGTGCCGGTCGCAGCTCCGAAGACGGCTCCAGAGGCTGGGGCAGAGGTGGCCGGGTTCGACTGACCGCTCGAGGTCGGTGTCGAACTGGGAGCCCCAAAGTTAAACGACATGGTAGAGGAGCGGTCGCTCAGAGATGATATACTTGCGAATTCGCTCTGTTTGCCTTTTAACCACGAACGGAAATCGTAGCTTGGTCCAGCTCGTTCGATGGACAGTGATGAGAGTTTTATGTTCCTATCAGTTCCGTCGCAATCAAAGGATGGTATAGATGGATCAAGAAGTTCGAGCCTTTGGGTAGACCATAGGGCGTACCAGCTCGGGAGTAGATGTCACGGATAGGGTGACGAGCGGGTGTAGGAAGGAAGGGAAGGAGAGAGTGAAAGCAAGCTATGGAGTACGGACCAGGCGGTAGCTTTTTCTTCCGATTATCTCCAAACGCGACCTAGCGCGTAAGGGATTCCTCGCCTCGCCAGTTGCGGGCAGCTTGGTCGTTCAAGATAAAAGGGTCCGTGCGTCTCGCTGGTGACAAACACGAACGGGGTACGTATACGGAGTATGTAAGCAAGACAGTGGCCTAAGGTTTCAATTCAAAAGGACATCACGTGATACGACTTCATTTGTGACCTTTGGTTTCAGCCCATAAGGTCTCTTGCCCGTCTCCACTTCATGACTCCCCTTTCCCTGAAAGTACACTAGCATATGCCGGAGTCTTGGCCTAGCGGGCCTAGAACAACCCCCATCTTCGATGTGTTCGGTGTATTCTGGCCCAGTTTGAAACCGGCGCTTCCAGACTCTCCCGTCACACAAATTGATGGATTCCCTGGATCAAACAAGAACTTCTTCCTCCTTCCTCCTGCGTCATTCCACAGTTCGACCCGTCCGTCATATTTCTTCTACCGATGCCCCTGAGATTTTGTTTCAGCACACGTTGGAATCTCCCACACTCGCCATACTGATTGATTGCGACTTGCCCAACGTCCCACGCGACGTGCAACGTCATCCGCCGACTTTAACTACGTATCTGCCAGTTATGCCAGGTTCAGACAACCTCTCGCCTCCAAAGCGAGTCGGGACTGCTGACCCAGGGGCCCATGATCTTGGTTAGCTAGCCAACACATACCCTATAAATCCTAGGGCGTACTAATTATTGTGGTTGCAGCTGAGTCTTCCGAATCGGATGACCACTTCTCCGATGCCCAGTCCGCACCTCTGAGCCCTGCGACCTCGCCCACCCCGAGAACCAGAGTGGAGAAAGTCGACAACGATCCATCCCACGGAGAAGTTCCTGGCACGGAGGCTTATCGCAAGCGAGAGGAAGATGCAGTGCCCGACGAGATTGCTGTCGTCGGAGACAAAACCTCAGAGAGCTCAGCCGCCGATGGCAATCAAACACCGCGCGGTAACAATGTCATTCCCAAGACTGTCATCGAGGAGTCTACAGGCAACACAGGGGACCATTCGGAAGAGTACAAGGAAAAGCGCAAGGCAGATGCCGACGCAGACCTGGTGCTGAAATCGGACGGTGAAGCTAAAGGGGAAGCTGCCTCTGGTATGAACTGAGAACATGATGTAGACAATACCTAATGGTGCAAGACAAGATGTTGACCACTCTGTCGTAGAAACCGCTGCCTCTTCGATGCCGGAGTTGACCATCGCGGCATCATCTCCCCCGGGAGAGGGAGAGGAATCAGAGGAAGTGCAGCCATCCCTTGCCCTCCAAGACACAAAGCCCTCATCGGTACAAGAAGACGAAGAAACCCCAGTGACAGAAGAGGACGAGGAGGAATTTGGGGACGACTTCGATGATTTCGAGGAAGGTGGAGATGATGCAGATTTTGACGACTTTGACGAAGGCTTCGAACAACCCATGACGGAAGGGCCCCCAACTCCTATGCCCTCGCAAGGATTCGCGCCTACCACACTGCCTTTCGTACGGCTTGACCAACCCTTCTATAAATTCCAGAGAACTAATGTTCGTGTGCAGCCGGTTCCCTACATCAATGACCTCGACGCAGATGAATTGTACACTGCCGTGGATCCTTGTCTGAACGCTCTTTTCCCACCAGAAGAGCTTGACCTTCCCGCTCTCCCACCTCTTCCCAAAGAAAACCACTTCTTTCTCACCAACCGGAGCGCCTCCCTCTGGAATCAGCTAGTGGCACCTCCTCCACTATCACCTCCCGACTGGATACGGTCCCGTATCCGACGTCTTTTCCTCGTCTCCCTCGGCGTTCCCGTCGACCTCGACGAGATCCTCCCAGCTTCGAAGCAGAAGAAGTTGGTCCTCCCCTCCTCGGTCCACCGCAAGACATCCACTGGCTCCCTGGGCACCTCATCGGACTCCCGGCCGGTCTCTCGTCTTCGCCAATCGGAGGCCAACGCGTCATCCACTAGCCTCGATTCGCATGGCAACCTAAAATCCTCGAGCAAGACCCGTCGCAGGGGTCTTCCGCCCTTGCCCAACTTGGACCTCGTCGCCGCCCGCCAGCTCGCCACTACAACGGATGAGGCCTTGAATGGCATGACCGATCATGAGCTCAAGAACCACGTCCAGAAGCTTGAGGATACAGAGAGGATAGCGAAGGAGGTGTTGGAGTATTGGCGTAAAAGGACGGATGAAAAGATCGGGGACAGGGAAGCGTTCGAAGGCGTCATAGAAAATTTGGTGAAGCATGCGCGCAAGGTTCGAAAATGATGGCACGAAGGCAGATATGGATTGTGACGAGAAGAAAAAAACAATAGGCCCCTTTTCTTTGCTGCCAAAACGTACATTATTTATGTATGTACCCCCTACATGATGAGCCTTCCCATGTGTGTCGCCATTCTCTTAAGGCGCCACCTACAACAAAAGCTGTATGCCATCGCTCTACAACCATGACCGTAGACTGAAGGCTATGCAATTTTTGTTTGTTGGCAATATCACCATGTGGCCTATCTACGACCTGTATCTTGCCATCCCTACCCGAAACCATAATCATCATCTCATCATGCCTGTTCTTTACATGCTTGGTCCTTTTCCTACTCAAGATTTCCCTTGACATTTTAGGATGTGCTAGGCTCAAGGGTAACACCACTAGGGAGACATTCAGTCAGTGACGTGTGGTCTAACAAGCGGCAGGGCGGTTCTTGGGGAACTTACGCGGCAATGGTAGCCCAGCCGATGAGACGCCAGTGCTTCTCGATACGTCGGCTCAGGGCAACCTTCTCGCCAATGTTGGTACAGGCCGGGCTCGTGAGAATCAGCTTAGCAGCATCGTTCTTGATAGCGGCAACCTTAGCACCGGTGGACGTGGAGCCAATGTTCACCATGATGACCTCATTCTTGGCGAGCTTGGCCACCTTGGCCTGCTTGCCGTCGGCAGTCCGGACACCGAGGAGGCGTTTGAGGAGGTAGAAGTTGATCTCGATCTCGCTGTAGATCTCGGGCAGGCGGCCCTTGAGGCCAAGGACGAAGCCGACGAGACGATCGGCACGGCAGAGGGTGGGATCGATGCGGGTGCCGACACCGATGAGACCACCGGGGACGGCGTACTTGAGCTCGTTGAACTCGGAGTTGAGGGTGACGATGCGGCTGAAGATGGGCGTGCACTTAAGAGCGCCCTTCTCGTCGCGCGTGACGATGCCGGGGCGGATCTCAATCTCGTCGCCGAGCTTGAGAACGCCGTGCAGGATGGAACCGCCGGCGACACCACCCTTGAGGTCGTCGATCTCGGCACCAGGCTTGTTGACATCGAAGGAACGAATGACGATCATGTGGGGGTCGAGGGTGAAGTCGCGGACGGGAATGGGAATGGTGTTGACGATGGCGGCGAGGGCAGCGTCGATGTTGAACTTGAGCTGGGCGGAGATGGGGATCACCGGGGACTTGCCGGCGACGGTACCTCGGATGAACTTAAGGATGGACTGATAATGCTGCTGGGCGGCTTCAGGCCGCATCAGATCGACCTTATTCTGCAGGATGATAATCTTGTCCAGCTTCATGATCTCGATGGCCGCAAGATGCTCCGAAGTCTGCGGCTGAGGGCAGGTTTCATTGCCGGCGATAAGGAGGAGAGCAGCGTCCATGACGGCGGCGCCTGACAACATAGTGCTCATGAGAATGTCGTGACCGGGGCAATCCACGAAGCTAGGGCGGCGATTAGCTTTTTTTTTTTTCTTTTTTTCCTACATCAAAGCGAAGGTCTGACGACCAAATATAATATCCCCTGGGCCTGGGGTTTAGATCGACTCACGAGACATGGCGTAGAAGTCGGTAGGTTCCTCCGCAGCCTTCCCGCTCGCACGGAGGGTCGACTTCCTTTTCACTCTTGTAACTCCTGAAGCAGCCTGGCCGCGGGCATTCCGGATTATCGCACTGGTAGATCTTCGCATTGGCATAGCCCAGCTTGATGGTAATGTTCCGAATGAGCTCGTTTTTGAAACGGACAGTCTGGACGCCGGAGATGGCTTTTACGACGGTTGATTTTCCGTGAGCGACATGGCCAATGGTGCCAATGTTGATGGTAGCTTGCCGTGCGATGATCTCGGGAGTCAGTGGCGTGAGGGTCTTGACGTCAAGGTCTTTCGGCTCGGTCTGTGGAGGTAAAACAGGTCGCTGGACGGAGGTGTCGGCGGTAACTGGGTTTTCGGACTTCTTGAGCGCACTCTTGAGAGGCTGGGCCTCCTCGACGTGATCCTGGACGGACTCGCCAGAGTCGGACTCGGACTCGATGTCGTCAAACTTGTTGTCGCCGTTGGCAGACATATTCGCAGTGTGGTGGGGGAGGCAAAGCAACTGTGCTGGGAGAGTGGTGGGGTAATAAGGCGGTGCGTTGCTTAACGCTTTCTCTCTCGGATGCGATGGATGCCGTGAAGTGTTGCAGACACGAATTAGGAAATTACGGCGGGAAGGGAGAAAATTGTATTTCTTGGTATTACAGGCGCTTCCTTTCAATCAGGGCAAGCGCGATCCGTTGTTGCCTCTTTCCGAAGATCTGGTGACGGCAAAAGGGGATTTTGGCTGGTGGGTTTGAAGCATTAAAATTCGAAGTGTGGAGGAACGAAGTATGACTCTTACGCTATGCCAAATCAGACCTGATAAGCTGATAAGACAATATGCCCCACATTCAACAATTCACACCAACAACGCCTTGCCAGAGGATAGGTAACTTCTTGACATTAAATGGCCGTGGACGCATTAAACAAAGAAATAGTCCAGCAAGCTGAACATATGCCTGTTCAATGACGAGGTATTGCATAGAGAACATGCTTATTATGCGCTCCTAATTGGAGTAGCTGTTTATTCCTCCTAAATGACTAAGTGCGCTAGGTCTGTGGTATGTATGAACCTGCGAAGTCTAGAGTAAGGTACCTACAGGTCTAATAATCATCAGTTCTCTTTTCGAACCATATGAATTCTCCAGCCTTGGCATCCACCTTGAAAGACTTGAAAGAGGAGTTGCTGAATAATATACACGTGACCAAGCAACTTTCTTGCGCCAAAGGGAGGGCGACTAGGGCGACTGGTAATTGTCGCCAGCTTAATGAGGGGGTGGCTTTCTGAGGCTCGGTGATTAGCATCTTACTGTCTGTCCCTGTTGAAGCCTAGGCTTATTCGACATCAAAGCGGTTCGAAATATGTGATCCGAACCGTGTCTTTGACGACTGGCGTGTGTGGTAACATGGCACGACCAGTATATGCTTGGGTCTACAGCCTCGGTGCCGAGTAGCAAGACTCTGTACGACGAGCCAGCTTCCACGAGTTCATGATAAGATAGGGACGGGACTTTCTGGTTCAGCCCCTCGTCTACTCTGCGTAGCTGCTTGATGAACGACACCAAAGGTACCATCAGGGGCTGGTCGCCGCTGTTCTCTTGTGGTGGGCCAGTTCGAGGAGTCTCAGCTGCTTCTCTTCAGCAGGAACAGAATATGGAGAAAAATAGGCTGAATCGAAGAAAGCTTGGGCGAGCGGCATGTGGTGGAAGTATTAAAGCGCCTTTCAGATTAAGCATGTTTCTGACGTTACCACCAGTTGGGTAATATGTGATTTCGGCAGCTTAAATAAAAGATACAAAAATAGCATAGATCTTGCTCTTCTCAGGAGGCGACTCCGGAAGAGTAGGCTGCATGCATTTGGCCAACACGCCAAGACATTTGTTGGATGGTACATCGGACCATAATGACCAAGAAGGTGATTGTGGTCCTTCCGTCCTTACGGCAGATAAGCCTTGGTGTGATCGTGCTTAGCACCATGTGTGTCAAAGTGGTATTTCGGGGGGCTATATCCGTCCATCAACAGGTTGACAGCATGGGACCCGTCAACAGAGGCAAGGCTACGTGGAAGCAGAAAAAAGAAGAAGAAGAAGAAGAAAAGAAGAAAAGAAGAAGAAAGAAATAAAGAAACTGAAGGCCCCGAACGTCATATATCATATCATAGAGACAAGACAAAGTATTGTCTCCTTGGGACTCGAGATACCCAAACACGGTACTCGATTCGGTGCTCGATTTGGATATCGACTTGGGATGTTTTCCCCGAGTCCAACTCCAAGTGAACGACCAATCACCAACGGACGGCAACCGATGAGACCGACTGTACAACGTAATTACCGGAGAATCAAAATCAAGAAATCACCAAAGACCAAAAGAGCGAGACGCTGGATAGTGATATAGGTACGTATTCGGACGCTGGTTATCGTACCCCGTACGGGGGCCTGAGCTGGTATTACTAAGGTAACACAGGTTGTACATACATAAGGTACGATACGGTTGACGAAGGACGAAGTACAACGTACGAATAAGCGATCTCATCTCACCGGCCCCACCCGCGCCACGTCCCACCCACTCTGGCTTGTTCGTCCATCCCCATCACTTCTCTTGCCGCCCACACCGCAGATGGCTGGACGGCCGTCACACAACTTCGCACGCTCATTGGCGGTCTCTTCTGACATCCTAGTCGTCACCCTAGGCATGTTGCACTCGGCGCAAATGGACCAGCGGGACCTATCACGGATGCAGATCTGCCATGCGGGTGGTAAGCGGCAGCAGGGGCTGGCTGGGGTGCGTAAAGCCCTTTGTCGAGTCGACACCCGCTTCTTCTCTCTCACCTGTTCACTTGTGCACTTGTTCACTTGTTCTCGCCATCGACCCTAAAGAATTAGAGGGGTCTTCGCTCCCCAAAGTCCTCCCCTGTTCGGGTGAACCCAGCGCAATGCCCAATCACCTCGCCGTATTTCGCTCTGGGTATCCGTAGCTCCCTCGAGAGAGAAGTGCCAAGCACCGATTTCACGGAGCATCTTGGAATGGGCGGCTCGAATGCTTGATTAGAGAGACTTGAGCCCTCGTTGGTGACATTCACATCTGCAGGTGCTACGTACGGTTGGTTGCTGGCGTACGCATGCCATGACCGGAGTACGTATGTACGGATACTATCGTCTTGTTCCCCTTGTTTCCCACCCCTCTCTTGATTGTTTTCCCGAATCGTTTGACTGTTAGTGTTGGTCCGGACCGGATGTGCGTCGTGTCTGTGTGGGTGCAATATCTGCTCATCGATCGGTCTGCTCTGCCTCTCATATACCCTACCTGCCGACCTACCCACAGCCGTCTGCTCGCTTCTTCATCTTTCATCCACATCCTCGCCGTTCAGATTCTTGTTCTGGGGAGCAGCTGGCTTTGCGTGCGTGGACAAAGCAGAGAAGATCCGTCTTCTCCGAAGTTCTAGTCGGACTTGTGTAGCCGCCTGCAGGGTCACCTTGACATCTGCGAGACGGACCTCGGCGCTTCGACGATCCTGTCGTGGTTGGCGTCTATCCCATCACCGTCGAATCGCTGGGCTGGAAATCGGACCCCGACCTATCAGCATCATTTCCTGCCCATCTCGTGCTGTTCCCTAAGCCCACACTTCAGGTAACGATTTCCATTTGCTCCCTCTCTCTGTCCCTCTCACACTATCTTCCTAGAGGATGTTGATCCCCCCCCCCCCTTGAGAGTATTTCCCTCGAAGAAGAGTGGCTGGGCTTTCTCAAAAACAACGCCCTCCCCCCCCCGACTCCTCGAACTTCTCGGGAGTCTCCTTCTTTCGCCAGCTGGTCTCACCCTAAGATTTTCTATTCTCAATATCGTCTCTTTTCTGCTTCGCCACCTTGCTTGCCTGTCGCAAGGCTTTGCAATAGTTAACTTTCATTATCCAGCCTCGAGCACCAAGGGTGTCTCTCTCTTAGTCTTTCCTTTCAGCTACCTATATAGAAGTGGTCCTCCCTTTCTCTACGCTGTGCGCCCCTCATGTCTCCGCAAGGTAAGTCTCTTTGTTCTCGGCCGTTTCATCTCATCCAACAGTCAGACTCTAATTGTTCGCCGTCAGACGACAACAGGAAGCGGCCAGCCGCTCTAAATCTCACGGCCAAACGTTCAGCCTCGACAGACTCGTCATCCTCGACTTCATCACTAAAGCCGCCTCGCACGCCTCGTTTTGCCGAAGCCACATCAGTACACTCTCCCGTCGACGGCCCTCGGTCTCCCTTCGTCCCGATGGACGACAAGTCAGAAGTGCCCCAGTCGCAACCTGGCGACATTGGCTTTGGCTACATAAACAACCGGGAGTCGGTTGCCGTTCCCATGAGCCCAAAGACCCCCCTCAAGAGCGCCATGAAAGTGCCAGGAACCCCCGCAAGGAGGTTCGACAACCCGCTGAGCCCGACGTTCCGGGAGGAGGATGTTCTGGACAAGCGGGAGACGAAAACCGACAAAGAGCAGGCCCGGGATCTGGTACGTGATTGCTCTATGCCTTTGGGCAGAACGTGGCGGACTTTTGCCCAAGACTAACTCAAGTTGCAGAGGATTAAAACCCGAGTGCGAATGGCCAAGTTTGCCCTCCGAGGCGTCAGCTTTAGCTGTGCCCTGATCATCATTTCCATGCTCTCGGCCTCCTTCTCCATCTTCAATGCGACAAGAGCTTTGCCCGCACACAGTGGCCTGCCTTCTTGGGCAGAAGGGACAAGGCTATGGCCCCAGATCATTGTCATCGTTGTGGCCGGCATTTCGCTCCTCGGTTGCATCATCGTCTTTGCCGCCTACTGCCGTGGTGGCCACAAGCGAGCGGAGAAGGTCTCGACCTACTACACTATGTTTGCCATTGGGTGGTTCATCCTCTCCATGGTTCTCTGGGCCGTTTCTGCCGGTATCTTCCAGCATTCCCGGAACACAATGGACGGGCAGGACGTGTGGGGATGGAGGTGAGCCGCCTTTTTTCTTTTTTTTTCTTTTTTCTTTTCTACCTGTCCTATCATTGACACGCTGGCGTGCTGACTTTGATTTTCTCGTAGCTGCCGCGAAAACAGACGTGCCGATCTGTACAGCAACGAGGTCGACTACGCCCTCGTCTGCCGCCTGAACAACTGGGTCCTCATCTGCATCTTGATCGAGATCGTCGTCGAGATCATCGCCATCTCTCTTTACAGCATCGTCTTCTACCGCTACTACACCAAGCGTCGCCTCCACAAGTCCATGAACATGCGCGACAAGGCTCGCACCGATCTGTACCTGGCCCAGCTCCGGAGCCAGTCCGCTCCCAACACCCCCGGTCTCAGGTCTCCCAGCCTCAAGTCGCCCGGCCTGTACAGCCAGTACGCTCTGTCGCCGCGCAACCCCGAGAAGACGTTCGCGTCCCTCGGCGCCATCGAAGAGGGCACGCAACAGCAGCCGTCCTTCACCCCCGGCACCCGCTTCGTCGAGCCTGAATCCAGCTTCGTCCGCCAGCAACAGTCCACCTTCAAGCTGCAGGCGCCGCCGACAAAGGCCCCTTCGGCAAAGCCCAAGAACCAGGCCGGCCTCACCCCGACTTCCACCGAGGCGCCGAGCTTCCCCGCCCAGCCGGAACCCGTCGCTCAACCTTCCCAACGGCAGCCGGTCCACATCGAGCACGAGCACGTCAGTGGCGCGGCAGACGAACCGGTGTATGAAGCTGTGCCTATTCCTGGCGCGTACGCCGACATGGCGCCGAAGCACAGGTAACGGCGTTCAAAGTACGACGGGAAGCAGTTGAGATGAAGAAGGAAGATTGCCCGATGCACGGGCGCGGCTGCGACGATTAGCGAGCTTTTACAAAAAATCAAAACGAATGATGGAGGATGATACCTCGCGGGGAACAGACGACGGGACGATTCAGGTTGTTTTCATATCAAAACATATCAACTGAGCTGCTGGGTTCAGGAGGTCCCGCCGCATCACCCTCTGCGCGATATCAGTTGGCTAGGATTCGGTTTCGTTTGTCGTCAGACTCATTTATATATACCATCTCGGCGTTGAGGACCCAGGGAAGTGACGCTTGTCCCGCTTGGCTGGACCGGAATGGGTGGATATAGGTAGCCTTTCCAAATTAATTCACATTATTTCCTTTCTTTGACATGGCTGCTCAACTTCAACAAGGAGTGATGGTTGTTATTTCCAGGTCGCTAATGATAGGACGACAGTAGATAGTTTTACACTTGATGTTGGAGGTCTCAGATTGCTGTTCCCCATCCACGTATGTTGGTCTGCTCAGACTATCCACACGTCCGGCAGGTGATACAGCTGTCTGTACCTGACAAGATCAGATGGTGTTTTCCAGTGCACCAGAAGCACCCAGGCTTGTCTATTGAGCATCGAGTTCGCGTAGGGTTGCAGATTCCAACTTTGTCGGTCTGAGCTTAGGGAACTTGCTTCCCGTTTGGTCACGCTTCATCGGCCCGCCTTTTATAGCTCCGCCTCTAAACGCTAAGCAGATGATCAAACAGTGAAGTGCTTCTGGATAGGGGGACCGGGAAAGACCCAATCCGTATAAGTGAATAGGGCGTCGTTGTCCTACTCGTATCTGAACGCTGCTCAGTATTCGTAGGGACATATCGTGTATGCACAAATGTCGTGGGATAAGACGGGAGGCTCATGACGTCTTGGTTTGGTACGTCCTGCGCGAAGGCTCTCGCAGCATTGGCCTAGATGACGCCCGCGTGTTGCAGGCAGGGGTAGCCACGCACGCCTGGCCTGGGGTACTTGCAGTGGTAGAGTATGTCGCAGCAACAGAGAAGTCGAGCTGAGCAGCCGTCCGCTAGCCTACTCCACCGTCTCTTTTCGCTCATTCATCCATAATGGCAAAATGGACCTTCATCCATAAACTGCAGTCCCGACACCCGACGAGCAGCTCGCCCGCCGCGCCTGCGTCCTCGAGGTCTGTCTCGGCGAAGACGAAACCACGATCGTTACCACACCGGCAGCCACGGTACCAGCAATCCTGCGCCTCGTCGAAGGGCAAGTCGTCGAGGTCGACGTTCTCAACACCCGTTTGGAAGGACGTGACCCCCGCCCCGCCCTGGTGATGTCGCCCTTCGTGGCCGAACGGTCCATGAGCCCTTGCGGAAGCGGAGGCGGCATATAACGAGAGGTCGTAAGCAGCGCGGGATTTCGGGTCCGAGAGCGTCTTGTAGGCGACTGTGATCTGGTCGATTGTGAATTCCGGGCTGCCGCGGCTGTTACTGCCGGTAAGGTGTGCCGATGGCGGCGTTCGATTTGCTGTTTCTGACTTGGCCTTGTCTGGGTGGTGGCGTAGAAGGGCGCGATGGTAGGCCCGCTTGACGAGTTGGGCTGGTTGATGAGCTTGGTCTGACAGGAGTGCTGGGGAGATGTCGAGGACTTCGTAATAGGTTTGCGGTGTACCGTGCAGACCCAAATGTGAGATGTTCATTTTGAAGATGAGTGAGCCACGTGATAGGCCCAGGGAATGAGTTATTAGTTGTTGGGGATACGAGGAGGTGCCGTACCTAATACTGAGTGATTATGTAGAACGGTGGATTTTTTTTTAGTTTCTTTTTGGCCATTGCCGTGTCGCCAGAACTGTGGTCACGTGAGCAAAATGTAGATATCGTTTAGATATCCGTTTCGAGCAAGAATTGGCCTAATGAAAGGGCAATGAATTGCGAGAAGAAGCAATAGAAAGGGCCGGCGGCGAAGGATAATGGAAGATTTTCTGAAAGCATCCCGTGTCATCATGCCTCATGCTGGAATGGCACTGCTGAGCACAGGAAACCACCAGCAGCAAAACACATATGACCCTGAGCTTGTGGAAAGGAACTTGTTCGTGGTACATGGTGATACAGAGGTAGTATATACACAGATTGCTGAATCCGAATGTTCTTTCTGACGTGTCGTCGTCGCTTATTTGGGGAACTTCTTCCACCTGTATCTGCCAACCTGTAGTGAAGGTAGTATGTCAGTGTCTGTCTGTCCCATGAACCAGGTGGAGTTGAACTCACCTTCTTCCATTCCCTCATCAGATCGGGCATCTCCAGCATAGCGGTTCTCTTCTTTTCCATTCTGTATACTGTTAGCCAAGTCATAGTCGCCTTGAGACTGGAGACGGAGGACTGGAGCTCGAAGACTCAGCCCTTGCACCCAAGACGCCACATACCTTTGGATACTGGTCCTCTCGTGTATGTGTCCCTTGACCTTCTGTCCTACACCTGTACCCTTAACCCTAAGACCGTGCTCGACGCGTTCTGCCAGTCGGTGTTCGGTTGCCTTGACGGTGTGCGGCAGCAGCTCTTCTACGCCATGTTCGCGAGCCAGCTTGACCAGCTCCGCTTGCCGTCGCAGCGAGTATACCGGCTCGTGGCGCTTTCCGGTTACGGGATGCTTATGCGGTTTGAAGGGGTTCGGGGTGGCTTCTTGGTAGCCCGTCTTGAAGGTCTCCGGGTTGGTGCCGGCGGGAAGGATGGACGGAGGAGGATAACGGGCGAGGAATCGCTGGAGACGCGCCGGGAGCGCTTTTGCAAGCTGGATATACTGCTCTGTCGCTGCCATTGTCGCGGCTCTATATGCTCGTTATCAGGATATAGCAAACCGCGATGAGCATCGCATCGTTGGTACGGATGCACAGAGCTGTTCGTGTCGACGATGCGAATAATCTTCTGGTTATCCACTCTTCAAGTCAAACCTACAGACCCACAGAAGCTGACTACAACACAGTGTTGATTGCGTACTGTACGGTGTATACTGCCTGGCTACGTACTACGTCGTACAGAAGGATAAGGTAATCAAGGTAGTGGCCATCACTGACAGACAATCCTCGCGTTGCGTTTCCTTCCCTTCCCCCAACTTTGATCAAACCACAGACGATTTGACGGAGTGTGATATCTACGGCAACCTGTACTCGTACGTGTTTAGTAAGAGGTCGATAAGACGGCATCAAAAACCATTTATTTTGTACTCTTGAGACGTCGCCCCCCAGAACCAGAATTCGCCCCAGCATGGCCGGGCCTGGAGTAGCAGCTCCCAAACTTCGGTTCGTCCCGAAAAAGGAGCGCGAGCGTCAGGCTGCCGAAAAAGCTAAGAAAGAAGCAGACGAGCTGCAGCGAAAACAGGAAGAAGAGGCCCGTAAGAAAGCTGAGAACGAGCGGCAATGGCTAGCCAAGGCCGAGGAGCAATCTCGACAACGGGAGCTCGAACGGGCTCCCCAACGGGCTCCCGAACGCCCGTCGGAGCGCCGAGCAGGGCCTAAAGGCTCCTCAGGCGCAGGAAAACGCGAGCCGAGAATGTCAGAGGAGGAATTCGAGAGGCAACAGCTGCGCGAGCGGTACCTCGGACCCGAAGTCAACCGTCACTCGAATTTTTCAGCAGCAAAAAAACGGAAGAGAGCGACCGAGTTCAAGTTCGACTGGGACGAGGCTGAAGACACGACCCTTCGAAACGATCCCCTAGCCTCGACGGCGACAAACGGCAAATCCAACTCCAACTCGTTGAACGGCAACGGCAGTGCCGACTACTTTAGCGAAGAAGCCGAAGAAGCTGCCAGGCGACGGGCGAGGAAGATCCGAGAGCAATACGGGGAGGATGGACCCGAGCTGGCGCGGCAGTTCATGGATAATTGGTATGCGGCTCGCGACCAAGCCAGGGGGCGCGCCCAACGGTTCGGGTTCGGCAAGCGGTGGAATGAGAAAACTCTTGAAGAGATGCAGCCTCGTGACTGGCGCATCTTCAAGGAAGACTTTGGCATTGCCACAAAGGGCGGGTCCATCCCGAACCCGATGCGAAACTGGAAAGAGTCGGGACTGCCGAAGCGGTTGCTCGACGTTGTGGAAAAGGTGGGATACGACGAACCCACGCCTATTCAGAGGGCCGCCATCCCCATCGCTCTACAAGCAAGAGATCTCATTGGCGTCGCCGTCACGGGTTCCGGCAAAACTGCAGCCTTCCTTCTTCCGCTGCTTGTCTACATCTCAGACCTACCGCCTCTTGGGGAGATGAATAGGAACGACGGTCCATACGCCCTGATCCTGGCGCCGACGAGAGAACTGGTGCAGCAAATCGAATCTGAGGCCAAGAAGTTTGCCACGCCGCTCGGCTTCAAGGTGGTCAGTATCGTGGGCGGTCACTCGCTAGAAGAGCAAGCCTTCGCGCTCCGCAACGGGGCGGAAATCGTCGTCGCCACGCCCGGTCGATTGGTCGACTGTATCGAACGGCGACTGCTCGTACTATCACAGTGCTGCTACGTCATCATGGACGAAGCAGACCGCATGATTGACCTCGGCTTCGAGGAGCCGGTCAACAAGATCCTCGACGCGCTGCCCGTCACCAACGAGAAACCGGACACGGACGATGCCGAGAACGCGCAGCTGATGAAGAGGTACCTCGGCGGGAGAGACAAATACCGGCAGACGATGATGTACACGGCCACGATGCCGAGCGTCGTGGAGAGAATAGCGAAGAAGTATCTACGACGGCCGGCTATCGTGACCATTGGCAACGTCGGCGAGGCGGTCGAGACGGTCGAGCAGCGGGTGGAGTTCATTTCGGGCGAGGACAAGCGGAAGAAGAGGCTGCAGCAGATCCTCGCGTCGGGCGAGTTCGCACCGCCGATCATCGTCTTTGTCAACATCAAGCGCAACTGCGATGCGGTGGCGCGCGATGTCAAGCACACGGGGTGTTCCACCATTACCCTGCACGGCAGCAAGACGCAGGAGCAGCGTGAGGCGGCTCTTGCGTCGGTGCGGAACGGACAAACGGACGTGCTGGTGGCGACGGACCTGGCCGGTCGTGGTATCGACGTGCAGGACGTCTCGCTCGTGGTCAACTTCAACATGGCCACGAACATCGAGTCGTACACGCATCGTGTCGGCCGAACTGGCCGTGCCGGCAAGTCGGGTGTGGCTATTACGTTCCTAGGGCCCGAGGATACGGATCTGTACTACGACCTCAAGCAAATGCTCACGAAGAGCACGATTTCGAAGGTGCCAGAGGAGTTGCGCCGGCATGAGGCAGCACAGCAGAAGCCACAGAAGGGCGGCTATAGGAAGGATAGGAAGCTAGAATAGCCCCCCCGTAATGCTGTAGGGACGACATTTGTTTTGCCCTCAATTGTACGGTTCATTTACCTTGAATATGTTTCCTTTGCGTTTTCATCCTCTTCCTCTTTTATGTTTATATTCTTTCTTTTGGTTCTTTTCTCATTTCAATTCCAACAGCCTCTTGTCAGTGGTTCTGGCACGCACAGTGTGAATAGGCCCTCGACAGTACGATAAACACAGTGTATTTCTTTGCTTTCAATAAACCAATATATTCAGTAGTAACCTAGCTGATGCAATAGAATATTGATTTAAAAGGAGTTGGCCAACCATGGGCTAGCGTCGGAAAGTAACCGAGTTGCGGCTGCGCGTAGCCGGAACATGCGCCCACATCGGAACCACACAACGGGTCTGATTGCTCAATTTGATTCTCATCTCCATCCCACAAGCCGAAAGACCGCCTCGTATCGTCTCGGCTGTGATATACGACCACCTATCCAACGAGTCAGAGCCAATCACTTCTCCCGCCCTTGCATATTCTGCCCTGTTTTCTTCTGGGCCTGAATGGGGGCCCGGAGTGGATGACATGCCGTGGGGTCCCTCCTCCATATCGAACCTCCTCCACCACGCCCCGCCGTCCGATCCGCGTCCAACCCCATGTCTCCTTATTACCGACCACCGACAGTACCTACAAGAAGACGGGGCCGGAGTCGTGCCCCATCCAGGGTCGGCGCCGGCGGCCCCACCACATCTCGGCGCCATTCCCAGCGCCCTTGGCGCCTCCGACGCCACCCTGAGGCCGGCGGGATCGAGTCCGCCAACAAACCTTCCTTCTCCCAACAACACTCCCAGCCATACCGCCACACCGAGGCTCTACCAGTGTGCCCACTGCCAGAAGCGTTACTCACGTCCCGAGCACCTGGCCCGACATATCCAGACGCACACCCTCGGCAAGCGCTTCGTCTGCCATGTCTGCACCAAGGCCTTCGCCCGCCAGGATCTCCTGAAGCGGCATGTAGCCAACCACGAAAACGACAATGACCCGAACAAGAAGCGGCGCCTCATCAGCTCGTCCCCGGGGTCGGCCCGCGTCTCCCATGCCTGTCGAGCCTGTGCCGCGGCCCGGGTCAAGTGCGAGGAGCAGAAACCCTGCACCCGTTGTCGGAGCCGTGACCTCGAGTGCCAGTATCTGTCGTCCGAAGTGGGCTCTGCTGCTGCTATGCACCTCCTTCACCTTTCTACCAGCGCCCATTCTACCCCGGCATCGATAGGCAGTCCTTCTCTGCAGACCAGTGCCTCCGATGCAGCCTCCTCTGGGTCATACTTCCCGACGGCCCCATACAGCTACAGCACCCCTTCCACGTCGAAGCCCCATGGCACCCAGTTTGCATCAACATCAATGTCGACACACCCGGCGGCCATTGTTTCGGAACAGGCCACACAGGCCACCCAGGCCACACAGGCCACCCAGGCCACACAGGCCACCCAGCTTCTCACCCCACGCCATGAACAGGTACCCGGACAGGGAGTGTCCGAGTCTGCCGCGCAAGTCCATTATGGTGCTGTCGCCAACAGCCAAGGCGTTGACATATCTGGGGTATCCTTCTCAGACTTCCTTCAGAACGTCATCTACGATCAGGACGAGGCCGCGTCTTCCAAAATCCAAGTAACACAAGGCCTTGCCGTCTTGGATGTCGGAGGCCGCGTAAACCTCGATCTGAACGAAGGGGACTTTAGCCTCCTGGACTACTGGAACGCCGATTTTCTCGGGGACGCGGCCGGGTCTCAGACGTTCACGCCGAAGACGGACGACTCGGTCGACCTCTCGCAGATGCGGCAGAACCTGGTCAAGCTCTGGACCGACTCGCCGTGGCGGTGGCACCCTTCCGGCGTCGACTCGAGCTACCAGGAGCAGAGCAACCTGCCGGTATCCGCGGGCGAAGCGGCGGGCGCGGTGTGCGAGAGCCGGAAGAAGCTGCGCAAGACGGTGCCGGACAGGCTGGAGCCGTCCGGACGAGACGGGGTGCTGGCGATCGTGCTGAAGTCGTGCAGGTCCAACGATGTGATGGCGCGCGTGGCGTCGGCGTTCCCTTCGGTCGACCTCATGGACAGCCTCATCCACATCTTCCTGGCGTCGCACTTTTGCCAGACTTCGCAGTGGATCCACCAGGCTACGTTCCGGATGAAGGCGCAGTGGCCCGACTGGCTGGCCATGGCGGCCGCCTCGGGAGCGATCCTGACGCCGGTGACGACGCTGCGGAAGTGGGGGTTCGCTGTGCAGGAGGCGGTTCGCATGACGATCCCCGAGAACTTTGAAAAGACCAACACGGCTATCCAGGCGCTGGGCTTAGTTCAGTCGCTGGTACTCACGCAAGATGTTGCTCTGTGGTCTGGCATAAGGAGGAAGATGGAAATCGCCGAGTGCCATCTGGGAATTCCCGTCACGGTGAGATGAATCCCGTTCTCTTTCTTGGGGGGGTTCTTTACTTTTTTCTTCTCCTTTTTTTTCCTCTTTTTTTTCCCTCTTTTTTCCCTCTTTTTTCCCTCTTTTTTCCCTCTTTTTTCCCTCTTTTTTTCCCTCTTTTTTTCCTCTTTTTTTCCTCTTTTTTTCTTTTTGCGGACAACCGCTTCCTCGTTACAAAGGCGCTTATACCCAAGGGTTAGATGATGCGATACCGGAACAAGTTTCAGCGATCCGGATACCCTTTGATTGATCTCGGCCCGTCAGACAAAGGGGCGGTGCTTGACCAGAGATGGAGAGCTTGGTGCGAGCGCGAATCGTGGAAAAGGTTAGACTGACTCTTTTTTTTTTTTTTTTGCCCCCGTCCCGGTCTACGCCTTGGGGACTAACTAATGTTACTCGTATCCCGCCACACAGACTCGCCTTTCATTGTTACATCAGAGACGCCCAAAGCTCGATATGCACCCTTGTCAACCCAGGCATGTCCTACGCGGAACTGACGTTGCCTTTACCTGAATCGAAAGAGCTCTGGTTCGCGGAGACGGCGGACGAGTGGAGGAAAGAAACCCTGGAGAGGAATGCCGGCGAGAGCAAAAGGCCCCCTTGCGTCGGCGACCTCTTCCGCGACATTAAGATACTGGCGACCAACCGACACCGCGTCGACGTCCAGTCCTCCGTGTCTATCTACCTCCACGGTTTCTGGTCCCTGATCATGGAATACCAACGGCTCTGTTCCGTGCTTCGGTCTCGTCTGTGGCTCCAAGGCGACGGGGCAGGCGGCGACCAGCTGCTTCGGTCACGGCACGCCGACCTCTGCAGACAGCTGGAGGATTTCCAGGCGCTGACGTCGGACTGGGAGGAGATCTTGCCACAGGAGAGGCTCATGCTGCACCTGCTCCTCATGAACCTGCACCTCTCGCTGGACGACCTGCAGCTGTTCTCGGGCAAGGAAGGGGAGCAGCAGGCGCGGCGGGTGCTGGGGAACCTGCGGGTGTGGGTGCACAGCGTGGCGGGGCGGCAGGCGCTGTGGCACGCCGGGCAGGTGCTGCGGTACGCGAAGCTGTTCCCGTCGGGCCACCTGAAGGATTTTTACGCGGTGGCGGTGCACCACGCGGCGCTTGCCTTCTGGACGTTCGGCGTGGTGACTAGGGCTTCGGGCATGCCTCCTGGGCCGGCGGCGATGATGGCGGCGGCGGTTGCCGGAGGTCAGCATGGGCGGGATGGACTCGTCCACTTGGACGGGATGGTGTCCGGGCCGGTGAACCACTACATCGGCTTCGGGCAGGGCAGGCCGGTGATACAGGGACCTGCGACGGGCAAGACCGAGAGCAGGGCGGAGACAACGACGCAGGCAGATGTAGAGGACCCGAGGGGCTGTATGGAAATCGCGCAGCAGGTCTTGCGGGCCAATTTTGGAGACGGAAAGGTGGTTCTGCCGCCCATCGTGGAGAATATGTGCCAACTGCTGAAGCAACTGGGGGATGCGGCCTGGGCCGTAGGGTTAGGATGAGAGGGGAGGAGTTTTAAGGGTATCCAAGGGTGTTTGTGGAGTTTCGGAGGGAGGAAGCGGGTGACATAATATATTTAGCACCGTCGGCGCTGGGTCTCTCTTTGCTTCTTCATATTATTGCTATTTGCTTCTATGCTATATTAATGGTCGAGAGCATAGCCACTGATGATACGGTATGATCATTATGGAGAGATTCTTGTTCTAAATTTTTCTTCTTTTTTTCCTTTCTTCTTCTTTTTTTCCGTTATTCCCTCCTGCTTCGACTCATAGTTACATGGCACACTGCCGTTTTGGTTCGGGATTTCCAAATGAACCAACACCCCGTTGTCTTGTCGTGACACCATACATAAGGGACCTTACACTACATTGCGAGTCAGCCTAGCGCTCATGGTCTTTAGGGTAAGGTTACGTAAGGTACTGGAACTCGCTTCAGGAACAACTTTCCGGATCGGGCACGTGGGGGCATTGGTGGGGGCGTTGGTGGGGGCGTTGCACTCCGAAAATGGCTTAGGGACCGGAGTTGTTGACGAAAACGAACAGGGCTGGTGTCTAGCCGGTTCCCGGCATCCGTACTCGGTTAGGTATACGTATCCTACGTGGGTGGGTACGGTAGAATGATGACATCGTATTTCTCAGGGACTCTCACCTTTGGGAACCCCTTACGGAAAGACCAACTGCGAATGCACAGACAACATTGTAGGAATGGAAAGGGAGCGGCAGGAACGTCATAGCCCCCCTAATAATGGAAATGCCCTTCCCCCACCGTCCTTTCTTTCTCCTCTCAGTTAGCCCGGCTCTTAACCACTCCGATGCTCCCGGCGACTTCTCTCCCTGCTATTTCTTAGGTATTCTACATCATTCCTGGGGTCGTTTCTATTTTCCATGTTTCTAAATTTTATGTATCTTTTTGTCTTCTCGTTCTTCTTTTTCTTCTTCTTCTCTCTCCCTCTTTGTTAATCGCGCTCAACTTTTCGTCCCTCCCATCCTAGACAGAACAGAAACAACCCATCTCTACGTTACCTCACTTTGCTTAGCTTCTTCTATTTACGTTGTTCTACGGAGTAACTACTCGCTAGAGCTGATATCTTGAGAACCATATCCTCTAACAAACTCGTCTCTTACTTCGTCCATCCACCGCAGCGAAACCAGGAAAAGAAAGATCGAGAAGACACGAAGGGAGCAGGAAAAGACAGCACCCATGTCAGACTCTTCTCGACTGGCCGACTCCTTGCGGGTCACCTCGCGAAGCTTTGATACTAATACCGGGGCTGAGCCGGCCGCCATCTCCGTTCCCACTTCGCCCTTCAGCGTCGCCCTCACCTTCGCCGTAGAATCCGTCTCACATCTGTCCAATATACAACTACTACTTCCCTCACCCGACAGGTTGTCTCTCATCACAACAACTGCCGTTACCACCCTTGTTGTCTTCTTCATTGTTCGATATGTTCTTTACCCTAAGTGGGGGAGAGCCATCCCCAGTCCACTGAGGGCCTCGTTTCCCGACGTGCCCCCCGACGCCATCAAGTCTCAGGTCTACCACCCAGATGTCCTCCCTGGGGCTCGGGATGTGACCACTCCGGTAATTTCCCCCTCCCCCTCCCCCTCCCCCTCCCTTCCGGCCCTTGGCCTGGCCACGTCCCGCGCCGAATAGGTCAGGCAGATGTATCTAACAGCTGGTTGCTAGTACGGCACCATCCGTGTGTATGAATGGGGCAACGTCAACGGCCCTAAAGTCCTCCTTGTCCATGGCATCTCGACACCTTGCATCACTCTCGCGCCGCTAGCTCGCGCTCTGGCCGACAAGGGCTGCCGCGTTCTTACTTTCGACCTCTTCGGCCGGGGTTTCTCGGATGGTGTGGGCGACCTTCCCCACGACGACCGTCTCTACGCCTCGAATATCCTCCTTGCCCTCGCCTCCTCCCCTTTGCCCTGGACCGGAAACCATGCCTTCCACCTTGTAGGCTACTCTCTCGGCGGTGCCCTCGCAGCCTCTTTCGCTGCCGGGTTTCCCCGTCTCCCGGCCTCCCTCGTGCTTCTGGCACCCGCAGGTCTCATCCGCACCGCCGACTTCGGTACTATCGCTCGCCTCACCTTCCGCTCTGGTCTCGTCCCCGAGCGCCTCCTCGCCCTTGCCACCAAAAGCCGTCTCCAGCGTCCTATTGCGGCATCCTCCAAGCGGAAACCGACCCAGGCAGACTCTCTCCGGGATGAGCTTTCTTCCTCTTCCCCCACCGCCAAGGTTGCCGATGTCGTCGCCTCCGAAACCAAAGGACCGGAAGGTACTCCGACCCTGCCACTCGAGCGCCGCGTTGACGAATATGTCCGCTGGATGGTCACCCATCACGCCGGCTTTGTCCCGGCTTTTATGAGCTGCATACGCCACGCCCCCTTGACGGACCAACACCCCACTTGGGCTTCCCTCGGCCGCCTTCTGTCTCCGGGCCGCATCGCCGTTCTCCTGGCTCGCCATGATGAGATTGTCAATTGTGAAGCCTACGAGCGGGAAGGCCGTCCGCTTCTTGGCGATGTCGACAAAGTACATTGGGGTGTCTTGGATGGGAACCATGACTTTGTCATGACACACGTCGAGGACATCATGGCCCAGCTCGATTCGTTCTGGGGTCTCGTCAGAAAGGAGAGGATATGATTATACCGAACAAAGGGCGAAGACGTCAACGTGCAATGAACCAATCGACCAACATCGCATCAGGACCGGAGTTTTGGAGGACTAGACCAAGCATGGTTTACAGGAGTTGGAGTACGAGGCAGCGAGTCTTGATATTCAAGATTTTCTTTTCCCTTTTCTGGACATTCGGGAAGAGCATATAAGAACCAGCCACGATATATGTTAATGCATTTCATACACGACCTCTAGATGCCAGATTCCTAAATTACAAAGGGGAGTTGGCTGTGACCGCTATTCTTGTTCCGCAGCAATGAATTATTTGGTATGAGGACGTACAAATGGGTATGAGGTAAGGTATGAACGGGTTCTAGTAAGACAGACAAGCACATGAAGGGCCGTCTATTCGACCCAACTTGCTAGGCAAAGCACGAAAAAGAAAAGAAAAGAAAAAAGAACTCGATGAGAGTAGAATGGGAAGATTACTTGTCCAACGCTTGGCTTTGGCACTATATTTCGGTGGTTCACGAGTTAGCAAGCACTCATTCATAGCCGAAGAAGGGGAAGATAAAGAGGACGATAAAAGGGGGGGGGGGAGAAAAGAAACACTAACCATGTGCCAATATATACCCCTTTTCTTCAGCAAGTCCGCATGATTCCCTTTCTCGAGGACTTTTCCCTCGCCCAGAACAAAGATAATGTCGGCGTTTTGGACAGTGGCGAGACGGTGCGCCACGACGACCATGGTACGGCCCTTTCCGGCGCGCTCAAAGGCGGCCTGGACGAGCTTCTCCGACTCGGAGTCGAGGGAGCTGGTGGCCTCGTCGAGGAGCAGGATACGCGGGTTCCGGATGAGGGCGCGGGCGATGGCGAGGCGCTGCTTCTGGCCGCCGGAGAGGGAGACGCCGCGGGACCCAATGTCGGTGTTGTAGCCGTCGGGCAGGGAGGCGATGAAGTCGTGGATCGAGGCGTCGCGGCAGGCCTGGACGAGCTGGTCCTCAGTGACCGTGTCCGGGTCGACGCCCAGCAGGACGTTCTCGCGAACCGTGCCCTGGAACATGTTGGGCTCCTGCGCCACCAGGGAGAGGTTCTTGCGGTACTCGTAGACGTTGAGGTCGTAGATGTTCTTGTCGTTGCAGAGGATGGCGCCCTGCTGGAGGTCGTAGAAGCGCTCGAGCAGCGAGACGATGCTCGTCTTGCCGCAGCCCGACGGCCCCACCAGGGCGGCGAACTGGCCCTTCTCGATGGTCAGGTTGAGACCCTTGAACACGGAGACATTGCGCGTCGGGTACTTGAAGTGGGCGTCGCGCAGCTCGATCTTGACGCCGCCTTCGGTGTCCGGGATCTGCTCGTCCTTGTCGACGCGGTCCGTGTTCTTCGAGTCGCGCATGTCGATGATGCGGTTGGACGCCGCCGTGGCCTGCGCCGCGTTGGGCCCGAAGCTCAGCGACTGGCCTGTCGCCTCGGCGCCCTGGATCACGGCCATGAAGCAGACGAAGAAGTTCTCGGTCTGGTATTCCCGGCTGGCCAGCAGGCGTCCGCCGTACCAGAAGATGAGGCCCTGGCAGCCGAGGCTGACGCTCTCGGCGAAAGCGATGACGATGGAGGCCCACCGCGCCTTCTTGTTCGCCGTGCCCACGAGGTTCTCCAGGAGCGTGTCGTACCGCGAGCTGATGACGTCTTCCATGGTCAGGGCCGAGACGGTCCGGAACGCGCCGATGGCCTCGGCGGCGAACTTTGAGCTCTCGGCGAAGACGGCGGCGTTCATCTGGTCGAACTGGATCTCGTACCTCATTCTCCAGTAGGCCGAGAAGATGCCCATGGGCATGGTGACGCACATGGCGACCAGGGCCAGTTTCCAGCCGAAGGCGAAGGCGATCGCCAGGCAGCCGATGAGGTTGAAGATGCCGACAAGCAGGAAGGCCATGTTGATGCCCAGGAGTTCCTCGAGCTGTTTCGGGTCGCCGGCGACGCGGGAGGTCAACGTGCCGTGGGAATTCTCCTCGAGGTCAAAGAAGGACGTCTTCTGGAACAACATGGCGGCGAAGTACTGTTGCTTGTACACGGAGCTGATGTAGAACTGCAGATGAGTGGCGATGTAGCAGTTGAAGAAGTAGGACAGCCCAACACCGATGGCCAGCACCGTAAACATGAGGGACCAGAAGTCGCCCTCTCTCCTGAGTTCGTTTCCTTGCAGGTAGAAGACGTTGAGGAGCTGGGCGAACAGCCATGCCTGAAGCGGCGTGCCGGTCGCAGCGCACATGGAGGCGAAGGTGGTGGCCACGTAGAAGGGCCACTTGCTCTTCCGCTCACGGAGCAGCCGGCCGAAGCTGTCAAAGATGTTCCGCTTCGCGTCGTCGTTGCCCTTCACCTGGGGCCCGTCGGCCAACGACTGCGCCGCGCTCTTCTCCCGCTTGAGCACGGGCTCGAGGTCCTCCTCCTGCCCCTCCTTCTCGTCGATGTCCGCCTCGGTAGCATCCCCCAGGGATAGCTTCTGCGCATAGACCAAACCATAGTAGAGGCCACTCTCGTCCTCCAGGAGGGTTTCATGGGTACCCTGTTCCATGACCTTGCCCTTCTTCAGCACGACGATACGGTCGGCTTTCTTGATGGTGGAGAGGCGGTGGGCGATGGTGATGGTCGTCCGGTTCTGGGCTACCCTGTCGAGGGCGGCTTGCACGATCTTCTCGCCACGGACGTCGATGGCGCTGGTGGCCTCGTCGAGAATCACAATCTTGGGTTTCCTCACGATGCTCCGGGCGATGGCAATCCGCTGGCGCTGGCCACCGGAGAGCTTAGCGCCACTATCACCGACTCTGGTATCGTATCCCTGGCAAAAAGAAAAGGGTGGTTTTAGTCAGAACCGGGGGTAAAGAAGAGAAAAGAAAAGAAAGGGGGGAACGGCTTGAGTGGCACTCAGCCATTCAGCGACTCGAGACTTACATCGGGCAGGCGATCGATGAACTCGTCAGCGAAGGATTCTCGACAAGCCTCCATCACCAACGCCCTCTTCTTCTCCTCGGTCTCGTTCTCCCAGGGCGAACCGATGAGACCATAGGCGACATTCTTGAAAATGGTATCGTTAAAAAGAAACGGCTCCTGTTGGACGAGGCCAATCTGAGATCGCCACCATTTGAGGTCAAGTTCATCGAGGGACCGGCTAGATGTTGTGATGGAACCCTTCAGCTTGACAGCGGGACCCGTTTCTTCGGGCCCGGGTCGAGACTCATCATCATCATCATCATCCGGATCGACAATGCCCTTCTTCTTGTTCTTCTTCTTCTGAGCCTCCTTCATCTTGTCCTTCTCGACAGCCTTGGCGATGACGTGCTGTTCCTGGAGATTGTACCACCTCTGGATAAGACCGACGATGGTGCTCTTACCGGAACCCGAGGGCCCGACGATGGCGGTGTTCTTGCCGGCCTCGATGGTCAAGTTCAGGCCGTCCAAGACCTTGACATGGGGCCGGCTGGGGTAGGCGAAGGTGACGTCGGCGAAGACGATATCTTCGGTGGCAGAGACGTCGGGGTCCTTGAGAGATCCGGTTTTGGGCTGAGGGGCGTCGATGACAGTGAAGAACTCGCAGGCGGCAACCATGGCCTTGCTGACGGCGATCAGAGGCGTAGAGATGCGTTCGAGGGAGATGACGATCATCATGACGGACATGAGGACGACGATGATGACACCGGGGTTGGTGAATGCTCCGTCGGAAAAGCGGCGAATGCCGTACCAGAAGGTAAGACCAAAGGCGCCAAAGAGACCGAAGAACTATCGAGGGTCGGTGAGTCGGTCGGTCAGCGTGTGAATGGAGAGAGAAAGAAAAAAAGGACAGAACGTACGACGAGACCCATCTGCAAAGCGAACAAAGGAGCAGTCATCTGACCCTTCTTGCGAGCTTCAACCACCCATCGATTGAAGCGGGCGGCGGCGCGGTCCTCGGCTCCACAGGCGGCCAACATGCGAATACTGCCAAAGGCCTCGCTGGCGACAGAGGTGGCCTTGGCATCGGCCTTGGTGGTCTCGGCATGGAACTTAATAATAAAGGGAAGCAGGACGGAGATGACGATGAGGATGAAGAGGATGACAGAGGCGGTGACGAGGGTCAGGTCCCAGCTCCAGGTGAAGGCGACGATGATGGCGGCCCAGATGGTGCCGTTGTACTCCATGAAGGTGCCCAGCTTCTCGGAGATGCCCAGCTGCAGGGTGTTGGCGGTGGAGGTGATGGTGGAGGCGGCGCTGCCCGAGGGCATCGAGTCAAGGACGTGGATGGACTGGCCGAAGAGGCACTTGAGGTAGTGCAGGCGGATGGCGGACGACAGGCGGATGCCGATCATACGGAAGCAGAACTTGTGGACGATGGTGAGGGCGAAGCGGCCGAGGAAGAGAGCCAGGATGTAGAGCGCCTGCCTGTCGAGGAGGCTCTCGAAGTCCGGGCGGGAGAGGGTGGGCGGTTCCATGAAGTAGCCTGTGAACTGGCCGACGAGCTGACCGAAGATGACGTTCATCAGGGGCAGGGTGGTGCCGGAGCCGATGGCGGCCAGGCAGGCGAGGATACCCATGAGTAAATCCCATCTGTTGCCATAGGAGAAGATGCGGATGTAGTCCTTGATGGCCGGTTCACGCTCGGGTCGCGTCTTGGAGTTGGAGGTTGTCTCTGTCCCTGCCTCTGTCCCTGCCTCTGTCCCTGTCCCTGTCCCTGTCTCCGTCTCTGTCTTCCCCTGCTCTTCCGGCTTGTTTTTGTTACCCTTTTCGAGGATAGGGTCTGCCGGGGGAGGCGACACCTTGTCGTCGGTGTCGAGCATGTTGATTCACTTGGGTAGGCCGTGAAGTTTGACTGTGGTTTTTGTTTTCAGGCCTGCTAGAGATGAGGTTGATCCGATATGGGAGCAGTCTCAGTCTGTCTCATTGAGGAGACGAAGAAGAAGGCGAGTTCTGAGAGTTGGAAGAGCCTGAGAAGGTGTATCGTCTAGGAGATGGGCAGTGGTCCTAATATGTACGTCCAAGCAGGAGGCGAATGTCGAAGCTCATTGCAGTAAAAGGAAGGGAGTCCGTATGTGGTGGGTGATATTTACGAATTTTACGAAGCTACAGAGACCGCATCATGACTGTAAGAGAGTAAAGGATCCGAGTGGACACAGCAAGGAAGGGTACTCTGATAAATGAACGTACTCCAATGCGAAGGTACGAAATGGAAGAAAACGGCCAACGGCTTTGACTCTCTCCAGGGAAAATAAACATGTTCTAACGGGCGGGAATTTTTCGCTGGAGATGAGGTCGGTTAATCTGCCAAGGCCGTACTCGTCGTCAGTTAAGGTACCTTAGGATAGGAGTTGTATGAAGTGCGAGTACGTACGTTGTGCTTCCGTTAAATACGAAAGTACGAGCCGTGCATATAGCAAGCTCCAATGATAAGGGGGCATGATAAAGAAGTGGAGATGAATGTGGGGATTAAAAGCCCCATTCTCCCGGATGGAGCCAGTACGTTGTATGTATTAATTAGGTACCTTGGACAGAATGGTAAGGTACGGTACTTAAGGTAAGGTAGGTACCTACCCGGGTTTGGGGGGGTATAGGACAGAGCCCGATAACTGGTCAATCTGTCAACAGTCTTAGAACATCATGTCGACAGAAATTTCTCTGT